CCCCCCCGGGACCCCGGAACGCTTGACGGACAAGGGCAGAAATAGGTCGCGATGTACCTCTCGCCCAAAGAAGTAAGACTTCTTGCATTGCTGCTCATCCCCCCTTGGCGGAGGGGTCGGACGAGTACACCGGTAGACCAGAAACTCGTACTCATATCGCGACTCGGCCCGTAGCTCGACAAGCTCGTCATCTCGCAGCTGGGCCTGCTGGCGCAACGGCGCCTGGCCAGAGGCGTCAGGCTGAATCATTCCGAAGCCACGGTACGATCACGGTGACTGAAGGAGAAGCTGAAGATGGAAGAGCGGGAAGCAAAACGCTCTCGGCGCCCCCTCCTCCCTCCCCCTTTCCCCTTGGTCTCTTTGTTGGCCGGCATCTTCTTCTTCTTCTTCTGCACACAACAAGCCAGTCAGCCAGTCAGTCAGTCCCTCAACTAACCCGCGAGGCTCTCGGTCCCGCTCTGCGCTCAAGGCGCTCATCGCCAACAACCTCCACGAGCTGATTCGCGATGGCAACCACTCCGTCGCCGACCTCATGGCCCTCGGCGCCACGATGCTCGGCCGGCGCCACGTGCTGCCGGCCGTGTGCAGCACGCTGCGCGAGATCCAGGTCGAGGGCACGTTCCCCATGGGCACGTATCTCGTCACCGTCCACAATCCCATCGGCACCGACGACGGCGACCTGCGCCGCGCGCTGTACGGCAGCTTCCTCCCCGTGCCGGACACCGAGGCCTTCCAGCTGCCGCCCGACTCCGAGTACGCGCCGGACAGGCAGCCCGGCGCCGTCGTCGCCGTCCGCGGCCGCGTCGTGCTGAACCCCGGCCGCGCCCGGGTCCGCCTCCGCGTCACCAGCAAGGGCGACCGCCCGATCCAGGTCGGCTCGCACTACCACTTCATCGAGGCCAACCCGCAGCTCGAGTTTGACCGCCAGAGGGCCTACGGCTTCCGGCTCGACATCGCCGCCGGCACGTCGGTGCGCTTCGAGCCCGGCGACACCAAGACCGTCACCCTCGTCGAGATCGGCGGCGCCAGGGTCATCAGGGGCGGCAACAACCTCGCGTCGGGCGTCGTCGAGGCCCGCCGCGCGAGCGAGATCGTCCGGGACCTGCAGGCCGCCGGCTTCGCCCACGTCGCCGAGGCGAGCCCGCGCGGCGACGCCGCCCACATCGACATGTTCCAGATGGACCGCGCCGCCTACGCGACCATGTTCGGCCCCACGACCGGCGACCTCGTCCGCCTGGGCAACACCAGCCTCTGGGTCCAGGTCGAGCGCGACATGACGTCGTACGGCGACGAGTGCAAGTTCGGCGGCGGCAAGACGCTGAGGGAGGGCATGGGCCAGGCCACCGGGCGCCGCGACGACGAGACGCTCGACGTCGTCGTCACCAACGCCCTGATTGTCGACTGGACCGGCGTGTACAAGGCCGACATTGGCGTCAAGGACGGCGTCATTGTCGGCATCGGCAAGGCCGGCAGCCCCGACGTCATGGACGGCGTCAGCCCCAACATGGTCGTGGGGAGCTGCACCGACGTCGTGGCCGGCGAGGGCAAGATCGTCACGGCCGGCGGCGTCGACACCCACATCCACTACATCTGCCCGCAGCAGGCGAACGAGGCCTTGGCTTCGGGCATAACGACGTTTCTGGGGGGCGGAACCGGTCCAAGGTCTGTTGTCGACGGGGGGCAGGGCGCGGTCGGCCAGGTCGCCCTCCTCCTGCTCCTCCTCCTCCTCCTCCTCCTCCTCCTCCTGCTCCTGCTCCTCCTCCTCCTCCTCCTCGTCCCGCCCCCCTCGCAAGAGGCTCGACTCGAGAACGGTCTGCTGACACGACCTGCAGCGCCGGGTCCAACGCGACAACCTGCACGCCGGGCAAGAACCTGATCCGCGCCATGCTCCAGGCGTGCGACGCGCTCCCGCTCAACGTCGGCCTCACGGGCAAAGGGTGCGACTCGTCGCCCGAGGCGCTCCGGGAGCAGGTCACGGCCGGGGCGTGCGGGCTCAAGGTGCACGAGGACTGGGGCGCGACGCCGGCGGCCATCGACGCCTGCCTCAGCGTGTGCGACGAGCTCGACGTGCAGTGCTGCATCCACACCGACACGCTCAACGAGTCGGGCTTCGTCGAGCAGACCGTGGCCTCGTTCAAGGGCCGCACCATCCACACGTACCACACCGAGGGCGCGGGCGGCGGCCACGCGCCCGACATCATCTCCGTCGTCGAGCACGCCAACGTGCTGCCGGCGTCGACCAACCCCACGCGGCCCTTCACCAGCAACACGCTCGACGAGCACCTCGACATGCTCATGGTCTGCCACCACCTGTCCAAGGACATCCCCGAGGACGTGGCCTTTGCCGAGTCGCGCATCCGCGCCGAGACCATCGCCGCCGAGGACGTGCTGCAGGACATGGGCGCCATCAGCATCATGAGCTCCGACTCGCAGGCCATGGGCCGCTGCGGCGAGGTCGTCGCGCGCACCTGGAACACGGCGCACAAGAACAGGCTCCAGCGCGGGAGGCTGCCCGAGGACGAGGGCAGCGACGCCGACAACTTCCGCGTGCGCCGCTACGTGAGCAAGTACACGGTCAACCCCGCCGTCGCCCAGGGCTTCTCCCACGTCGTCGGCAGCGTCGAGGTCGGCAGGCTGGCCGACCTCGTCCTCTGGGACCCGGCCTGGTTCGGGACGAAGCCGTCGTCGGTGCTCAAGGCCGGCATGGTCGCCTGGGCCATGATGGTGAGTCTGGTCTCGTTCGTCGACGCCGCATCCCCGACGCGCTCGCTGACCTCCGCGTCCTCCAGGGCGACGCAAACGGCTCCATCCCCACGGTCCAGCCCACCGTCGGGCGGCCCATGTACGCGCCGCTCGTCCCCAGCACAAAGGTGCTCTTCGTCTCCGGCGCGTGCGTCTCCTCGGGGACCGCCGCGTCCTACGGCCTCCGGAGCCGCGTCGAGCCCGTCCGCAACTGCAGGGGCATCCGCAAGCAGGACATGCGCCTCAACGACGCCATGCCCAAGATGAAGGTCGATCCCGAGAGCTACGTCGTCGAGGCCGACGGCGAGGTGTGCAGCGCCGAGCCGGCCGACGTGCTGCCGCTGTCGCAGACGTGGTACGTTTACTGAAGGCGCGCGTCGCCGACGAGCGCGGGAGGGAGATTGGGATGCCCGTCGTGGCTCGCGAGTCGTGGCGAGGCGCGCACGCCGGGGGCGGGGAAAACATTTCGTGTTTGTGGTTTGTGCAACTACCGACGACCGCTTGGGTTGAGAAACGAAAGCTTTGTGGGTGGATCGTGTTTTCTTTTGCCGCTTCCTTCGTTCTTGATTCACACGTAGCATAGCGTGGTAGTTGGGCGCGTGTGTGTGTGTGTTTTTTTTTTTTGGGCAAATCGCATCGTCATGGAACGCATGCATGTCTCGGCTTGACGCCAAACATCTTGATGATGCGCATGAAACAATAAAACAACCCGAGTAATTCACCAGGACCACGCCGACAACAAAGTAGAGTCCTTGATGCGCGTGCAAAGCGGGGAATTTCGAGTCCCACAGAGTATAATAATCATTGCTTTCATTACGGCATGCGATCAAAACACTGTGCCTGCAAGCGCAGTCCTGTCCTCCGTATCAAACATACACGGCGCACGAAACCAACCCATGTCCCTCGCTCCGACTCACGTAGTAGACACAAGGAAAATAAATAAAAACCGAACCCAGCCGTCCATCTCAGATCCCTCCAAAAGAACACGAGAGGAAGAGACGAAAAAAAGGTGCATGCACTTCCCCGTTGGCGTCACCGTTTTTACACCATTTCCTTCCCCGGCCCGCGACCAAGGCAAACAAGACTATGCCTACACATGTGGTAGAGAAACCGACCTACCGACCGACCCTGAGATGATGAATAACCCAAAACCGAAAAGACTCCTGCACTGGGGGAGAAGAAAAAAACAAAGAGACAGATGGCAGTGGCAGTTGAGACGACATGCTCCTACACTTCCGACAGACGTTGGGAAATTTAACGTCATGTATGAACATCAGCATGCCGTTGTCACAAGAGGATATCATGTTCCCTGATCCAATTTGGCAGATAAAGGCGTGCTTTTGGTGCTTGCTGACCCAAGGTCACCCCTAGACTAGAAAGAGGGCGTTGCATTATCAACAGAAGAAATCAACAGAAGAAAGAGAATGGAGAGCGCTGAAAGGGCGAGGGGCGAAAAATGTCAAGACTCCTAAGAGCTCTTAGTCTTCTTGCGTCCAGACTTTTTTGGCTCATCCTCGGCGGGCTTGGTGGATGTGCGTCTTCGCTTCTTGTCAGGGCTGGCAGGCGTGGCCTTGGCCGTCTCAGTGATGGTGGTGTCGGCGGCAGGCGTGGCAGTCTTGCGCTTGCGAGGAGCGGCCTTCTTAGGCGTCTTGGCCTCGTCCTGAAGCTGCTCGGCAATGGCATCCTGATCGTTGGGGGGCGCCTCATGGGCCGCATCGTCCTTGATGGAGGGCATGGGGATATGGAACTCGTCGGCGTACTTGAGAGCCTCCTCATCGCTCATGTTCTTGGCCAGAGGATTGTCGTTCTTGTACGAGTGGACACGGGCATTGTAGAGGCGCAGGTTGTACTGATAGGCAGTGTTCCAGCCCTTCTTCTCAGTAGGGCCCATGTTGGCCCACCGTCGCTGTCCCTCCTCCTGGACAGCGCCCTTGGGAGCCTCGGGGGGGAGGTCGTTTGCAATGATTGAGCGGGCGTGCTGCATGTACAGGAAGTAGGGGGTGAGAGGACGCTTGGGGGCATTGGGGTCGTGGCTGCGCTTCTTGCGCTCCTTCTTCTCTCCGACAGGGACAGCCATCTCGCCAGTAACGGGCATCATGAGCTGGGCAGCCGCCGTCTCGAATGAGCTGAGCAGGTCACCCTGACCCTCGGCGGTGGGCTCACCGAGCAGAAGATTTGTCTGGCGAATGTAGTCCTGGGTGAAAGATCGCAGGAGCTCCAGGATGGTGCTCAGGCGGCCAACAGCCTGTTGGTTGAGTTAGCAATCTGCATTGCAAGGACATTGAGATGATCCGCCAGGTAGGCATGGGTGAGTTGAAGGGAAAAGGCGTGTGCAATATGTGCAAAAGGAAACATGTCCCAGAGTGCAAGTGTGCCTTGGAGCCATCCACAACGCGCCCAACACGCCGGTGCTGGTGCCAGTGCCAGACGTGCGCCTCCCAAGCGTCTTCCAGAAACTCCACGTCTCCACGTCAGCTCAGCTCACAGCTCACAGCTCACACACCAAACGCCAGAGGAGCAAGCTCAATCTCGGCTGAAGCTACCCCTGCAAGACGCGCTGCAGAGCCGACCCGTTGTGGTTCACGGCGGGGCGGATCCGGCGGCGGATGCCACGCAGGCGCGGCGCGGGGTCTCCAATGTAAACAAAGGCGTGTGCGGAGCAGCTGCCGTCGCGTTTTGCGCCGCGTGAAAGGAAAAGGTGAATATATATATATATATATATATATATATGTGTGTGTGTGTGTGTATAGCAAGAGTGATTTTGGGCGATTGGTGAGCCGCTTTTCTGCCGTCTTTTTTTTGTATAAATTTGCGTGGGCAATTCCAAGACTTGGACCGTCATGTGAGTGCTTGAACAGGCAAGCATTGCAGCTCCCGTGGTGGCGGTCAGACAGTCAGAGAGCCCCAAGACGCTGACGAGCTCCGAGGGCAAAAAAGGCTGCCCATTCTTGCCCTTTGCTGCAACAGGCCGGCCATTGCATAGACTGCTGCCTGCACCAGGTGCTTGCCTGTCCGAGGACTCTCAGGCACTTGCGTGAGATTATTCAGCCAGAATAAATGCACTCCAAAGAGCGAGTTCAAGCCGGGCGAAGCTCCGCCGGCTCCAGACACATGCGGGCACACGGCTTCATGGGGAATGTGTGTGTACAAGAGGAAAATTGACATCAAACTTACCGAGTCGCGGACGCGGAGGAAGCTCTCATTATCGATGACGCGCTGCGTGACGCCGATGGGAATTGGAGGCTGGGGAATAACTCCGGCCGTGGGCGCAGGAATCATGGTTGGTGCGGGCGCAACGGCGACTTTCTTGTCGTCGGCCTTCTTGGTTTGGCGCGGCATGATGGGGCGAGCTGGTGGTTGTGGACGAGTTGTGGGTTTGGGGGGGCGCGACGAGTGCTCTGGGGCCGTCGCTGGAGATGCACGCTGATGATGTTGTAGCGAGAAACGCGACGCCTGTATTGCCCTCACAGCGGGTGCACGATGGCGATGATTTGTGGTGGGTTAGAAGGGGGGAGGTTGTGGCGGACGAGAGTTTCTTGGGGGAGGCCTGGAGGGACCTGGCTGATTTGGGGACTAATGACTGCAGAGGGGGGCGCGACGTTTGGGGACGTCTGGGGACGCTTGGGGACGGGGGCACTCGACTCGCTGAGAGACTGCTGTGCTCGACGGGATGGAGAAAGAGGGAAAAGAAGAGGAAAGAATTTCGGGGGGGCTGGGTGGCGGGATGGTGGGTGGTGTGCCAAATATGTAGGAATGCTGCCGTGTTGGCATCAGCGCGCAATCAGCAACCTCCCCTCCCACGTCGAACCGTCCGGTCGCCCATCGACCGCCAGGCCACAGCAGGGGGAAGAAAAAATCCAGCCAGGTCAGCGTGCGCGGGTACGCAGGCAAGTGGGTGGCGGACGGGGCAAACTGATGCGGACGAGCAGCAGAGAGCGTGCTGAGTGGCCAACAGGCGGCCTAAAACGAGAGTGGATGGAGGATTGGGCGGGGCGGCCGGTCCCAGGCTCCCAGGCGTTCAGGTGCTGAGGTGCTCCTGTCTGGTAGTTGGGAGTCCTGGCACCTGCACAGGCCTCAGACTCCCGGCCGGCGGCAAGGCTGGCGCGGCGCATAGCTGGGGGGGCATGAGGCTCAAGTGGTGTGCGCAAGTGGTCCGGTGCCTCCTGTCTGGTGCGTCTGGTCCGTCTGGTCACAGGGCCTCCCGCCATGTCGACACTCGAGAGTGGTGTTGTAGGCCGCGGCGCGCCTCGAGGCAATAACAAAACTGGCTTCTTCACTGACGCGCCAGCAGCCGTCGACAGCTGGACCTCGGGCGTGCGAGCTTGAGTGCTGTCCTTCATCAACGTCCTTGCATTCGCATGCCCGGCTTTGCACCCAACTGCAGTCTGGTCGCCAGTTAATACCAAAGTACGGAGTAGCTGTGAGGATCGAATTCAAATGCCTGGCCATGCGCCGACATTGCCGCAGCCCCCTTGACCAGCTCCCGTTCCTGCTCCGTCCGTCAGCTCAAGTGGTGCTGGGTCCTCGGTGCCGTCTTGCTCGCTGGATCAATGCCTGGGACGCCCGTCGGTTCCGCAAGTAGCCGCTGCAGCCTGCGAATCGTGACGGCACACTCGTCGGTCTCATCCATCAATGCTGCTGCTCCCTGTGGAACCTCGACGCATACACGTGTGCAGCGACTCCGCTAAAGCAGTGAATGCTGAAACGGCTCGGCTTGTCCACAACTTACTTGCAATGGTCCAGAGACAGGTCCATGGAGCAGCAGTCTACTTAACCCAACTAAAGTCCAGGCAGGTACTTGCCTTGCTTGACCTGGGACAAGCACTCGGTAGCGTCTCCCACGACTCTTTTGCCTCCAACAAATCTCGGCACCCCAGCCAGCACCTTGGTTTTGACTGCGCCGGAGCTCATGTTCGTGTCCCGTTGACTTCGCTGTCCGGCCTCGGGCGTATCTCTGCAGTACATCACTATCACGGCCAGACTGCAAATTGCCAAGCACCGCACGGTGGATGAACGCTCAGCAACATCTAGTGCCAGATTATGATGCAAGCTCGACGTGACTTTGCGTTTGTGCTGGATCAAGATGCCAAAAGTGGGTGTTGGTGCGTTGCTGGGCGGCCGTGGTCCTTTGATTCCATCTCCAACTGCTTCTCAGGGACCTCTGAGCGACCTCTTGGGGGCTGTCGCTGAAGTCGCTGTTTCTCGCCCGCTGCGTCTCGCTGCGGGTGGACGGACACGGACACGGGCGGCCAGGGCCTGCGTGGCCGGTGAGTCGTGACTTGCATGCGAGCAAGCGAGCCAGCGCCTGGCCATGCCAGGAGGACCAGGAGGGTGGCCAATTAGGGGAGGAGTCTGTTGTTGTCACGTCTTCTTGACCCCGCCATCGTTCCGGCGCCTTCGGGCTCGGCGGTGTACATTTCAGCACGGCCTATCCCGTACGGGAGGTCCAAAGTTCCTTGGACGGCCTTCTGCCAGTTGGTTTTGGTGATGGCTCCAGCGATCCCGAGCTCACGCTTTGGCACCAGGCCTTCTCCCCTCTCCCATGCATCGGTCAACGGGCGCTTTTTCGAGGACTGGCTACGTGGGAAGACAACAATAGGGCTGCTGGTGCGGTTTCACATGTCCTCCACTGGGGCGTCATCCATCACCCAGCCTCTGGTCCAGTTGATCACTTTGCTTTCCCGGCTGGCTGTGCGCCAAATATCCCTACTTGACTGTCCCACAAGACCCTTCGGAGAGCCCTCACTCGGGTCGGCTCAGGTCGGGTCAGGTCAAGTCAAGTTTGTTCTACCAGGCTGACCTGCCCCTGGGTCTTGCTTGTGGCGGGTTGCGCGTCCGTCGACTTGCCTGTAGGCTCCTCGAGCCTCCAGTCCGCCCAACTACCGCTTCGACGATGCTATTGACATTTCCAGCGCACGTAGTGAGGCTCTGTCCATGGATCCCAGCGCCATACGAAGCACTGGCAAGGCGGCACCGGGGATTTGGCGGGAGAAGAGGCGTCAATTGCATCACACAGTCGACCTGGCGAGCTCCCCCCCCCCCGCCTTCGGCCTGTGGTAGTTTAAGCTTCGGGTATCGCAGCGACTGCTCGTGCTGCCCGTCAACCGGCGGTCAACTGGTCTCTTGGCTAGCTTGCCAGTTCTCATGGGAGTCCGGGGCTCTCGTAGTTGCGCCTCGCACTGAGGTTCCCGTTCCCGTGTCAAACATTGAAACAAACAAAGGCCAAGACAGCCATCATCACCGGCATTCTAAAGCTGGCGTCCGTCCGACACTGGCGTCACCTTGCACTGCCCGTCTCATCTCGCGCCGTCCGCCAGTCTCGTTCCTGTGACGACTTGTCTTCCGCCTCGTAGCTACACTCCCTGTCGTACAGGCTCTGCATCAAGCTAAAGATCCGATACCATTGTCAGTCCACGATGCATCTCTACGTACTGGGATGCACACTACACAGATGTGATCCCTTCCCAACGTCTCCGGCGAGGACAAATCTCGGATTGAAAAAATAAGCAAAGTGTCTGGCTAACGCGCACTCTGCGACAGATATCCAGTAGCACATAGGCTCATGCTTGCAGAGAGACTCATCTCCGCCGGTTGCGTCCACGACGATTCTTCCCCAAGCTACTCTGTTGACGGCGGTGAGCCGCCACGGCCTTGGCAACTTGGTCGACAGGGAGTTTGACTTTGGCACTGAACGAGTCCCACGGCAGCGAGCACTACGTACCCAACAAAGCCGCTTGAGCAACTGAACTTCTGGATATCTGGATTCTGGACCCCAATGTTTCAGCTGAAAGATGCGTCAAGTGGGGACCTCGAGCTGTCCCATCCCATTGGCAATCCATGCCGAGAACTCCAAGTCAAAGCCGCCGGTCGACTGGGCCCTGGTCTTGAGCTTAATCGAAAAGGCCACCGGGCCTGAAACGAATCGTGGACCATGTGCCGGTGATCTAAATTGAAGGCCCCAGGGTACATGCTGCCTTCCCCTCAGTGCTCGCCGCTCCTGCTCCTGTCCAAGCTCCTGAAGCTTCACCTTGGAGTACGAATGATTCTCTTCTCAGGCATGAGGCGAGGAAATGTCCTCGACGCGAAGCATTTGGTACGCGTGCTCCGTTTAACGACGGCATATTCGCCGCCATGCAACATCGGCGGCATTCAAGCAACGTCGGGGCGGTCTGCGTGTGCTTAACAACCTACCTAGGCAGGTAGTACTCTGTTCCTCATGTGATTGTAAAGCCGATGGACCCCCGGCGTATGTCACCGTGGCCGCCTTGCCCTGTCAAGTACTGCGTTATACACGGGTTGCCACGTTGCGAGGCGTCTGGCATCGTCGCAAACGGCGTACGGGGTTCATCGCCGCGAGGTGATGCTGCCGCCAAAATGTCTGAGGCTGCTGCGCAGCTCCTGTGTGTGATACTTACGGGGAATCATGGCCCGACGGCATGCCGTGGGCATCTTCTAGTACAAAGTTTATCCAGGCTAAAAGAACGGCGTGGTCGAACGGTGGTATGTGGCATGCGCTTTGATTATCCAGATGCATCGACCCAAGCTCCCTGCCCGAGATACTCAATGCTGGATCCAGTCTGGTTCTTTGCTGCCCCTCCTTCCAGAGCCCCGCCAACCCCTCCTGGGTCCTGGCTCCCTCTTGTGTTCACATCCAGGCTTTCTTTATTATCTCGTCATCCTCCTTTTTCGATGTCCATCTTTTTTCCTCGTCTCTCATCGACTTCGTCCGCCTTGAATCTCCAAAGTACTGGATACTCCCTCAAGACCAAAATACTCACGTAGCCTGCACTCACCCTCTGGACAGGGAAGAGAGAAAGAGCGAGCTTCACAGCACAGCCGACCCCACCAGAGCTTCCCAAGCAGCCAACACGCCACCCCTTTTCCTTCAAGAAGCGCACGCCTCTGCAACAATGATCCATCTCCGCCATCGTGGCCTCTTCTTGGGGCTGGTTGTCCTCGTGGCGCTAGCTACTCCTGCGGCAGCTTTTGGAGCTGGCAACATCGCTTCCATTTCCAAAGTCGAAGGCCAAAACTGTTGGTGAGCGCCAATCCCCCCTCCAACGCTGCGCTAACCCCGTTGCTCTCATACAGGGCGACATGGTGACATCGAGGATGTACTTCTCACCCTGGCCATGGCTCGTGCCATGAAGAACAAGAAATTCAGCAAGATCATGGTCTCCAGGGTTTACTTCGGCAATTGGCTCCGAGACTATTCTCAAGCCATCGATGTCGGCACTGTCAAGTCTGTCTCTGCCGAAGCCATCCGACTCCTGCTATGCATTCTTGGTTTCTTGACCTTTGGCTATGGTTCTGGCGAATTTGAGGTCACTGCTGACCGTCTTGGTTGCTACCGCCCCGAAGATCACATTGACAACCCCAAAAATTACGCCGATAACCAAGATGCTAGGCAGTATGATAGCCGCCTTCGAGGACCCATTGACGAAGCTAGAGAGTTGTCCATCGATTCCGCGTCTGGCATGAAAAACTACATTGCAAATGAACGGGCCGGAATTATGACTTCTGCTCAGCATGTAAGAAATCTTTTCAGCCGATGCATTGAGCTTGGCCGGAACTACAAGAATAGCGGAAGAAAAGAAGATCTGTACGAGTCCCTCCGCCTAATGGGAACTGGTCTTCACTGCCTGGAAGGTGCGTTGGCGCTCATTCCCTCCACTGCCAGGTTGTTTCTGCTTCATATTCCATGGAGAACAGCAGACGGGCGGGTCTATTGATCAGCATGTTAACAGTCTTCTACAGATTTCCTTGCCCACAGCAACTACTGCGAATTGGCTCTCATCGAAATGGGCGAGCGAGACGTCTTCCCTCATGTTGGACGAGACAGCCTCATGCGCCTCGAGGGCGCCAACGGCGATGTTTATCCTATTGTCACTGGTACCTTTGGCGGTGTAGATTTCCTCCACTCCGTGGTTGGTGAAGGTCGGTACTATGAGTATTCCTTGCTTCCAACACTTTTCCTCTTTTTATTTTCAGTAGTTGACATTTTCTGCCCCAAAGTTTCCGACAAGATGACCCAGAACGAGATTGAAGAGCTGGAGGGGACTCTTCAAGACAGCAAGAACTCCGATACTAGTCTGCTGCGTGACCTCCTGGACAAGATTCCTGACGGTCTGCTTGGTGGTAAGGACCAGAAGAGCCGAATGGACCAGATTCAAGACAATGCCTCGTCGTCCCAAATTGAGAATTTGTCCGTTTCCCCACGAAACCCCGAGGAGTTCACCCGTTACGTTCAGCAAGTATATAAGCAAATCATGCCTGCCATCGAGTTCCACGACGACATCATGAAGGGCATCACATCGGCTGTTGAGAATATCCCGGTGTTGCCAAAAGTTATCGAACAGTTGGAGGAACAACTCTCCAGATTTGTCTTTGCAATCATGGCACCTGTTGTTGTGCCTCTGATCCGTCAGATCAAGAATGAGCTGGCCACCGGCTCTGGCGAAGTTATCAAGAGCAGCGAAAACGAGCAGCACGTCGTCTTCAACGATGACCGGTCGACAGATCCTACTCACTCCATGCTGTCCAAGGATCACTTCTCCAACGTGAGTATTTGCCTCGTCGTGTCTTTCAAGAGCCCGGGAAGGTAACCGTCTTAATAGATCCTCAATGAAATTGCTGGTCGAGTTGCCGCCAAGATGATCTGCTGGGTCGTTCCCCAGATCATGGATGCAATTGATGATGACGGCGCCGACGTGAATCGTCTCTGCGATCGAGTCATCAATGGTATCTTGCATCATCCAGCTCAGAGAGACATGGGCAGGGATGGCGTCTCAGAGGCTCGCAACGCCATGTTCAGTGAAGTCAAATCGTGGTGGCACGAACTCCAGGGCGAGCAAAATTCTTACCGCCAAAAGTTGTCTCGCGACGGTGTCATGAGAGGTGAGAATCACAAGGAGGGTGTCGATGATACTGGCCACGGACATGGCTGCGCCGGCAAGCTCAAGATGCGAAAGCTCTACGGTGAACCAGACACTCTCGAAAACAAGATTGCTGGGGTAGCTGCCGGTGCCATTATTTCTGGAGCTACGGGTCTAGTCTCGGGCATTGTCGAGCAGAACACAGGCTACAAGTTGCCCACCGGACAGAGTTCACAGCAGAACCCACACGGGGAAGAAAAGAGTGGAATCGAGGGCTTGCTGAGCAAAGCCAGTTCCATTCTGGGCGGCGCCTTTGGCAAGGACGAAGAAGGGGTGGGAAGCAGTGGCCGGAATGATAATGATTCCTTTTACTCGCAGAGCCAGTCGAGCTACGGCCGTCAGGATAGCAGCTATGGCCAGAGTCAACAGAGCAGTGGTCACGGATATAGCCAGCAATCCAGTGGCTACGGTCAGAGTCAACAGAGCAGTGGTCATGGATATAGCCAGCAATCCAGTGGCTACGGTCAGAGTCAACAGAGCAGCTACGGCCACAGCCAGCAGGGTGGACGCCATGACGATGGCCGTCGACGTGACGATGACGACGGGAGCGGCGGCTATGGTGGCCGCCAGGAATCCAGCTATGGCGGCAGCGGCGGATATGGTCGTCAGGGAGGTTATGGTGGCAGCACTCACCACGGTCGCCGCGAGGACGACAACTATGGCCGTCAGGAAAGCAACTTTAGTGGACGAGACGATAACTATCCCGGTGGTGGTGGCTACGGTGGTGGCCGTGAGGAGAGTAGCTACGGCGGCCGTCAGGGAGGCTACGGTGGTAACAGCAGCTATGGCCAGCAGGAGAGCGGCTATGGACGCCAGGACAGTGCTTACGAAGGCCAGGGGAGTAGGTACGGTGGCGATGGTGGCTATGGCCGCAACGACAGTTATGGCGGAAACAGTGGCCATGGTCGTCGCCATGACAATCGCCGAGATGACGATGATGATAACGAGGGATATGGCCGTCGCGAACACCATGGGCGCCGCCGGGATAACGAACATGGTGGTGACGGTGGCTATGGTTACTAGATTGGAGTATGCTCTTGTCTCTGCTTCTGTTGGGCAGTGATTGATACGCCGGGTGCGTTTGAAGATGAAGAGATGAATGATGCAGTTACGGAGCGAGGCGTGCAGTGGACGTCGGGCAAAGGTCGTGTTCGCGAAAGACGCGTCGCACAGCGGTGCGTTTGGTATGGTGGCGGTTCGTTGTATAAATTGGATAAATTGGATGACTTGGATGAAAAAAAGGATATCTCTTTCCGGCACCGTGGTGGCCAATGTTTGCGTAAATGCTGTTCTCCCAAATTGAAGTGAGAGGCAAGGCCCCCACAGGGGAGGGATAAAAGCCATGAATGAATAACGAATATATATATACGGAGTAGCACGTTGTTACCAAAGCGCGAGCCCTTGAGGGTTAATAAAGAAAGTGCGTGCATTATCGATCCTACCCTGTACAATGTGTTTCTGTGTTGCGCACGGCCGACTCACTCACCAACTTGGTACGTTCTTGTTATGTACTTACCCAGTGGTTACAAAAGGTCCACCACCAGAAAAAAAGAAGCACGACCAACCCCCATCTCAGCTGCTGCGCAGGACCTGGCTGAAGGTGTCGTATCGTAGGCGTATATTCAAACAGGCCCACGGCTCAAGTAGATCAAATGCATAGGCAAGCGCGCGTCAGCATGGGGGCTTGTGTGTCACGGTGTGTGTGTGTGTGTGTGTGTGTTGAGCTCGGCTCTCGGGAATTGCCGCTTCCAGGCTTCAGTGGGGAGGGGAGGATGGAACAATTCCGCGCGCAAAGACCGCGAGAATATGAAACCTTGTCGTGCATGACTGAATCGTGCGGCTTGCGCAGAACAATCAATCATCAATGACCGCCAAGGTACTTTATAACTTACATATGCCGTGGGAACCAACGGAACAGGGTGACGCCATCTTTGGCAGGTGCAGGGCGCCGGTTGCTGGCTTAGGTACCTACCTAGGTACTTACTTTAAGAGTATCGAGATACCCAGGTAAGTTCTTTCGTACTTCCCAGATCTCCGTCAAGTACTCGGTGCCTGAAAGAACCTACCCTAGTACTTAGGTACGTAAGACACTACTGAAGTACTTAAGAAGGCACTTAGTAGTCACCTAAGTAAGTACCTAGGTGCTTAGGTAGTAGGGGCGAGCAAACTTGTCTCTCAAAGCTGCTCAATTAACATTGGTTGAGCGCCCAATGCGACGGCATCACGGCGCCGAGCAAAACTTCTTGATCCTTGCTCAGGTAAGATCATTAACCCGAACAAGAAACCCGATCAGCGCTGCTTCGTATTGTGTCTGCTCTGTCTGGTGCTGCACTATTCCAAACGGCTGTACTCCGCGCTAGAACTGCTTGACGCCGAGCAGCTGAGAGGGAAAAACCATGCGACGTGTGGTCCAGCACTCTACTCGCATTTAATTGCGTGAGCAGAACAAATGAGCGTTCGAGTTCGCGGCAGGCCTCGAGGCAAGAGAATGCTGCTCCCTCCAGTCGAGAGATATGATGCAAGGCTCTCAGTCTCTTCCACTCTCCTCTTAACTCAACTTGTCGTAATTTTGGAGCGACTCTTGGTGACGTTGCCGCGCCACTTTGTCTGTTTCCACTCGGGTTGCTTAGGAACACCATGCCATTGAAGGAAAGCTTTGAGCATCTCACAAACACGACAAATCCAAACCAAGAAAAAAAGTGCAGATAGGATGGATGCTGAGAGCGGGTAGACTTCCAATCTCCACTCAGGTCACGACTGATCCTTAGCTGGGTAGATGAATTAACTTGTTCAGGAATTGATTGATCCAGCGACTTGGGGCCATTTGTTTCGGGACAGGACACTCGCAAAACACCACGGACCGGGCAAACTCCTCGGCTTGCATATGCACACGTCACATAGTGTCGTCGATCCCTGCAACACAGCTTATGCAAGTCTCAAGTGCATCGTTTCGTTCATATATTGTGCCTGTCGACTGTAGCGGCCATGCCGCGAGGATGCGATGCAACAACAACTTTGGCGTTGTACTCGTTGCGAAGATCAGCTGTACCGTTGGCGACGGCTTTGCAACAGCAACGCCGACACTGTCATGTAAAGCACGTCGTTTCCTCAAATAATGACGCTACGGGAAAATACGAACCTACCAAAAGTAAAACCCGTCGCAAGATGCATCTGTAGTAACGTATATCGAGTAAGAAGCCAGTAGCTAGCAAACACATGATGCTCGGCGACGCAGCAACTATCTTAGTAGCCATTTGAGACGGAAGACTCGAATCATTTCAAGCGACGAGGAGACGTACAATGACTCGGGCTTAGCCCACGACTACCCGTTCGTTCCCTTTGATCGACGACGCGCGTCTTTAGATTTTCGACCCGACTTGCGAAGCCAACGTTATTCTCGCGACTATCGCCCCAGTAGCCATTGACCCGATTCGACGCGATTGTCAATCATGGCAAGAGCAATGAAAGGCGCTGCAACTAGATTAAACAAGCTCTTTGCAGTAGCGGAACAGTCGTGAGAGAGGACTTCTCCTGAACTAATTTCCTATGAAGCGTAGTAGTGGTAGTACCAAACTTGCCAGGACGCTCGCTCGTGACGTGTCACTGCACACCGTCTTCTGACTTGTGAATACTGGATATGAGAGAAGCGTAAGCTCGGCCAAAGATTGAAAAGAGCATCGCCAGAAAGAGTCGTCCGAGAAATAAGCTAAAGCTCAACATGCTGCAGGACTAGAAATAATCGCGTTCCCTTCCGAGGCGTTTCAACGTCATTTTTCCAGAAGACGCCCGGACTAGCAGCGCGTGATGGGTATGGTTCGTTCGAAACTATTGAAGTTGGCCGTCTTCTGGGAAGAAGACGGAAATATAAGGATCTGCACGCCGTTTCCACCTCGAAATCATGCTGCGATTCGCGCCATAGGCTTTCGTGACAACGAGTATTGTCGGCTCTTACGCAGCGAGCCTTTGTGATAATTCGACATGAATCTATATTGTTAAGAATATATACACACATATATATAATCTCGATGTCGTAGTTGATCTGGAGCGTGATCATTGACCTTGGAGTGTGTTGTAGGAGAGAGATGGCGATGCGTGCGCGAATGCTGCTGCACGTCGACATGCGTAGAGTGCCGGTGCGTTCAATCTACTGCAGATAAAGATGTATAAAATAGCTAGCCGTTGGGAAGCGTGGGAGAAGCAGAAGCGTGGATTTGGATCTCAGATCAATTGATGCGAATACTACGTAGTAGGGAAGTGCTAACCAGAGTGTGCACGTGTGGTCGTCGGTTCCTGCCCAGGGCCGCTATGGGGCCTGGGACCTGGCTGGGGAACATGAACGTGCACGTTACGTAAAGATTTATAAGTACTACTTTTGAGTCAGTACGGAGTAGCAAGTCGCGGAGTACTACTAGCAAGTGCTCCGCACGTAGGTCCCTACTTAGTACTCTGACGGACATCTGGAGGATCCGCAGCCAACCAACCAGCGCCCCGCTTTCCTGGAACAGCTGTGCCCACAACCACAGGCCACAGGCCACGGGTCATGGGCCACAATCCATAATCCACAACCCACAACCCTCCGCTCTCCGCCCACTCGCGCCCACCGGCGATGAGTCGATGACTGAGCTCACTCACGTATTCATTTGCGACCCAGCGGGATCCGCGGCCAGGCCAGACTAGACCAAGGCGCATCGCGCATCACGCTCATGTCAACGGGGCTGCGTCGTCCCAATCCAATTGTTTCCGAGGCCATGCAACCGGCCAGTCAGCAAGGTAGGTGGCTAGCGTACAGCCGCATCGCAACTGCCTGCAGAGTGGCACCCTAGCGACTTGAGTACCTTAAGAATACCTACAGGTGCCTCGAGTGCCAGAGCGGAGTACCAACTACGGTCGGTACCGGTAATCCTCAAACTGTTTGTATGGCGACCCCATAGAAAAAGCTCGGAACAACTGCGAGCCCACTGTTCCCAGGTACTAAGTAAGTACTTACTGATGGACTGGACGTTACGAACTTTGGAGCATTGACCAGTTGACCACTGACCAGTCTGGTTCAACTGATTGTGGTCCGACGCACCTACCTGCTGAGGCTACCACCGTCAGACCAACCAGACCAGACCAAACCGCCCAACCCGCCCAAACCGCCACGCCGCCGGGCCGCCTCCATATTCTCCAGCAAAGCAACCACGCCGAACGTCCGCCTCCATCCTGTCTGCGCCTCTCTTGCGACTCCCCCTCTGCAAACTATCCAGCATTCAGCACCGCGCGGCATTGTTGGGCCATCTTTTTATTCCCCCAAGTCGTTTCCGCTCGCTGTTAAACGTCCTCCATCTCATTGCCCTTCGAACGCCCAGCACTCCGGATCCGCCGTCGCGTTGTCGCTGCCCGCAATGGTCTTCCTGCCCCCCCGGCAATGAGACATGAGTTGAAAGAATGTGTATGTTCGCTCCATCTGTCAATGCCCTTACTCCCTCGTCCCAGTTCCTCTCTACTCTGTCTGGCCCGCGTTCCTGCTGGCCTCCTTGACTCTTCTGCGCTCCTACTTCTCGACAAAGAGCCTGCATCGCCAATCCCATGGCAAAGACCTCGACCTCGCTTTCACGCGACTGCTTGTGCTGACCTGTTCCAGCGCTTACGGACCTTCAAAACAACATGTATGTGCCTGCTCGCATCCCGCTCTGGAAACCTTGCCGACATCGTCGATTCCTATTCCGCCGAGTCGACGATTGATGTCGCCCAACAAATGCCTGCTTTCCAGCCTACCGGCGCACCGTCATGGATGGGCCTGATCGTCGATGCTGACACAAATGCAGCTTCTTGTTCAGCAATCCGGGTTGGAATGGCGAGGGAACAATCTCGTCGACGATATCCAAGAATCTCTCGCAACAAACGGTTCGTCTTCAGGAAACATCGTGGTGCTGCCCCCTTCCGCCACGACAAGTCAAGCCGGCCGAAGCTGACCATACCTCATCGCCTAGAGCCAGCTAGCCTATGAACAGCAAATCGACACAAACCTAACAACCCTGTCGACGTCAACCGCCGCTCTCGACAGTTCCATTCAAGGCCTCTTATTCGTCCCCGACATAACCTCCGTTCCATCTTGCGATGTTCAACAGTACGACTCCCTTCCGCGAAATGTCACTCGTAAAAAGGATCTGCCGCCTGCAAATTTCAATTTAGTCGCGATTGCTCCATGGTTTAGCAGTGACTGTACCCAGGCCTATCTCAACTCAGCCCTTCAAGGCCCTGTCAAAGCATTCATTTTCTACAAACCCAACAACTCTACGAACAAACCCCAGGATGGTGACTCACCTGTTTGGAACCTCGGCGACGGCGGCGCCTGGCGATCGAACCGCCACTTCCCCGTTTTTGCCATCCCGGGCCTCCAAGGCCAGAAGATCATTACGCAGCTGAGTTTGTACTCCGGCTCCATAACCCAGGTCCCTCACGGCCAAGAGGTCCAGCGGCTGTATAATCTCCACGGGACGACATATTTGCGCATATGGACCAAGCTTACCTTGGATAAACCGTCGAGCCCACCGGCGACTTGGGCTTTTATCCTCATTGTTATCGGGGCCCTGCTCTTCATCATCCTTACAGTTTCCATTGCTATGCATTTCATACAGCGACGAAACCGCAACTCTTTGAAACGTCGAGTCCAATCCGGTGAGGTCGATCTCGAGGCGATGGGTATTAAGCGCGTGACTGTGCCTGCCTCTCATGTTGCACAGTTTCCTCTCTTCACTTACAATGCAGAGCCCGATTCCTACGCCTCACCGTCAAGCCCTCGATCACAGGCCACTCCATCTGGCCGTACACGAAAGACACGCAAGAAGCGACGGCGAGAACCTGGCACCAAGACAGAAGCAATGGCCCCGGGTGCGCCAAGCGTCCGCAGTATACGAAGCAAGCGATCGAGTCTGACCGGCACTGGCGAGACCATGGCCACCAATTTCCAACCAACCTGTCACATTTGCCTGGCCAGCTTCGAACATCGAGTTACAGTTATCCGCGAACTACCATGCGGGCACATATTTCACTCCGAATGCATTGACGAGTTTCTCATACAAAACAGCTCTTTATGCCCAACGTGCAAGCACTGCATGCTCCCAAGAGGCTATAGTCCAAAGGTAACGAACGGAATGGTCCGGCGAGAAAGAGCTTTGAGGCGGCTTAGGGAGAGGGTTGATCTAGAGGAACTATCACTTGAATCTGGAGACACAAAACTGAAGGCATGGGGCAAGAAGCTCTTTAGCACCTCACACACGAGCCACGCCAAGGCAGATGTGCAAATGAAATCGCTCAAGTCATCGAAACACGCCACCAAATCAGAAGAAAACAACCAGAATCCTACAGAAATAGATGGGAGCAACAGTTCTGCTTCATTGCCAGATAGGGCTGCAGACTCTGCAACGCCAGACTCCATGGAACCGCCTCATGTGGCCCCTACCGCGGCAACGACTCGACCTAGAAAGCCAAATCCGCGAATGCTCAAGCTCCTTCCGACTCAACCCGAGAATGCTGCCCTGCATACGGGAGACAGAGCCCCGAACAGGCGGGGAAGCCCATCGGCATTTGCTCGGGAACGGATGCGAGAAATCGCTGACAACAACGCGCCCTTCGATGACCCCGACAAATCTCGCCCAAGATGTGAGTCCTGGTTCGCGAGTAACGCGACCCATTCGCAACTGTTTGATGAAGTCAGCATGTACTAATCTATATTTGCAACAGGGAGACGAGTCATATCGAAGGCGTTCCCTGGGTTCAGTTAACAATACAACGTGTAGCATGAGCGACATACCTTACGAGTGATACGGCCATCAACTAGAGCTAGGGTTTAAAGGCATGCATCGCGCCGGCGTTTTTTGTCTTTTTTTTACCTCGGATTCATCGAACACTGAGGTTGGAGTCATATTCTGGTAACATATCATCGGCCTGAGGGAATACGGCCCTTTCATCATCATCATCATCGTCTTTTCTTTTTGTTGAAAAGCCTATTTCTATTTTCTCAACGGCATCCTCTTCACGACTGCGGAACTGCGTGGAGCACGTCTGACCACCCATGATAATCCATCTTTACTCTTCTTCAATGACCAGTTGGATATCTTTGAGCTATGATTGACTATATATGGAGTTACAGTGGTAGATCTAGCACCAAGTTTGTGCTATTTGACGCAGCCTAAAATATCCAAGTATCAGAGCCAGAGTTTGTTTATTTATTCATTATTTTTTGCCGGAATTTTGACGGTGGGATTCTGATATACGCTGGAGTCGGCTGGAAACGGTTATACAGCATGGTCAACGGCGTGGGCAATTGGGATAGTACTCGTTTGGCGGCGATACCCGGCGTCGGAATATGGCCCGTGGAGCTATCCTCCCGAAGACGCACATGGCCGATGGGTTGAAAACGAATAGAGCGAATCCGGTTTAATTCAGCAAAATTTCTGACGGTGCTCGTCTGCTCTGCACGTCGTGGCAACAGTCACGATGAAATCAAATCGTCTTGTGAAACGCCATTTCATGTCATATACAGAGTACAGAACATATACCAACTCATTTTGGCTGCGCAACAGCCTGCTGCTGCACAGTCTCGGAGTCCAAAACTCTGGATTATTTCAAAGAGAAAAAGTCTCATGGAACCCATCTGCAACGCCCAAGTCGTATATCATTGATTCATTTCAACCGGCAGATGATACCTCGTCATTTCCCCCTCCCATTCTCAATCAAACGATCCTCATCGCTTCTCAGCCCCCCCCGGGACATGGCATCTCTGACGCGATCATCCTCTGCGGCCTGGATCCTCCGTCTAGCAGCTTGCAGTCTGTCCACACCGCGATCAATCGTCTCGATGTGCACGCTGAGGGGTATATAGACCGTCCTCGATTCACTGACAAGCTGCGGCTCTGCAACTTGGTCTCGCAAATCGCCCAGGTTCGCTTGAATAGATTCAAGCTCGAGAATAAGCTCGCTGACCTGGTCGACGGCCGTGGAGCGCTGCGAATCGACTTGTTGCAGGAGAGAGAGCTGTTGCGAGAGGCGCTTTAGGCTGCGCGAGTTGGCGCCGACAAGAGTCCATATGTTCCAGAGGATTTCTTCGCGGCGGGACGAGACGCTCGCGGAGGTGCGCGACGTAATGTCGTATATGCCGCCGAGGTGGTCCTCTGCTTTGGTGAGAAGGCGCAGGACGGCCTGGGCTTCGAGGATGAGGGTGGATATGCGCTCCGAGACCAGGCCAGTGTGTTCGATATATTTGTCGAGAATCATGCGCTCGCTGAATGGCTCGTCGGCGGGCTGGAAGGGGTAGAAAAACCAGCGCGCCCACTCGGAGAGCAGCGACGGCGGTGTTTCCGACTCGGGAGAGAGGGAGTCGATGTACCGTGACGTCCAGCGGTTGATGCTAATGACGGCATCGACGGCGGAGCCGACGTGCGTGTTGAACTTTTGCAGGGCCAACGCCGCCGACCGCGCCGTTTCAATGTATCCGTCAAACTCCAGGACCAGCTCGTGCCGGGCTTGGATGTCACTGTGCCGAACGAGGGTCCGCAGATCTCTGACGGCGGTTTCTGAGCGTTTCATTTCAAAGGGCAGAGAGACTCCGTCGGCGCTTCTTTCGAGGACCTGCTCGAATTTCGATTGCACGCCCATTAGGTCGTCGAACTCCACGGTTTGACCGGCCGTTGCGTTCGGGCTGCCAAAGTCGTTGGCCCCGGGGGGCGGGCAAAATGGGAGGTGTAGATATGACGTTCCTGGGAGGCGGCATATGGGTGACATGGCCGAGTAGACGGATCTTGTGGCCATGTTTTGTACGATGATGGCACCGCCAAAGATGAGGTAGACGGCAAGAAGCAGCCCGAGAGGGTATTTGGCAAAGTTGAGTGCAATGAGAATGAGCTCCCCGGCCCAGACGAAGATTTTGAGCAAAGCGGACGACAGTGACGACGCAACCATGTCCCCGACTGTGTCGGGTCCGCCAGATTTCCCTTTGTGGTTACATTCATCTTGGAGTGTTGACGCTTGTCGCCGAGTTGCCCTTTTCGCAGGGCTTTCTGCCAAGGCGTTGCCTCGTCGCCTAAGATGGGTTTCGCCCTCGCCGTCGAGGCTCGATCCCGGTCCAGGTGGTCGGATGGTGCGAGAGCTGTTACCGCTACTGCGTCTTGAGCCCCCAACATCTATCCGAGGCATTCTGAAACTGGGACCTTCTGTGTAATAGCCGCCGTGCACCCTTGAACTCGGCGGCGAAGTAATACTAGGCGGAAACGGCTCTCGAAGAATGACCTGGTCCTCGTTGCGGTGCTTGGTAAAGTCGCTGATGCTGTCCTGAGAATCCGTGGCAGATGCCATGCTCATGTTTCCTTGAGACGACAGCTGCGAGGGAAAGCTGGAGGAGGAAGGCTGACCACTGGACAGAGGGACAAGGATATCATCGTCACGTTCCACGGAGGTAAGTACGGTAGTGCCGAAGCTGTCGTTTTCGCCCTCCACCATGCGCCACGATCCATCTACAGGCAAGGAGCCCTCGTCGTCATGAAGTGAGTTTTCTCGGGCGGCCTGGACTGAGCGGCGGGCGCGCCGGCGCGACGAAGACATGGTGTTGCACTATTTTGTAGCTCGCCACCGGTTGTGAGGAGAACGAGAAGACAGGCGTATCTGTGACCTTTGGAGTGGGCACACCGAGTCTAATGAAACGCAGAGGGTCAAACGAGACAAGGGCAACAACGGTATCTCGCATACGCAGCGTCGACTGGTGTCCGACTGGTGTCCGACTGGCTTGGACACGGGCAGTTGTGTGTGTCGCACCTGGGGCTGGCGGTGGCAACAAAGGCGAAGGGCGTCTAGGAACAACGAAACGATTTGGGACGGTGTTTCACATGAATGAATTTGAGATAGGAGGCAACTGGAATGCTGCAATCGGACGGCTGCTCCCTAATCTTGTAAAAGCTGCATGAGTTCATGTGCCGTAGGGCTGTCGAAATGAAGGCGAAAATGACGAGGATGAGAAGGCAGAACCGTGATTTTGAGTGGATGAAGTTGGAGGCGAACGACGGGACGCCCATTGGCTGAGCTAGAGTTGAGCACGCAAAGATGGAAGGCGTTGGCAGCGGCAGCGGCAGCGGCAGCGGCAACAGGCGGCGAATAGTTGGGCCAGTACGGAGTGCATAACTGCATAACTGGGCCACAGACGTGAAGAAACGCGCAACCAATGATAACGCTGTTGGGGACCGAACTCCCGCCTACGCAGACCCACCAGTCAGTCGACTGACGTCCGGCGGTGCCACATCCCAAGCCTCGGCCTCGGCTCGTGACCGACGGCTGCCACAAGTTACAACCTGCCCAGGTGCAGCATCCATGTCGCCATTCTTCGCCTGCACTCATCAGTCACATCTCGCCTTCTCCTCCCTGCGGCTCTCGAGTTGTCCGAAGTCAATGCCATCGCCTCCCGTGCCTCGAGCTCTGTCCGCGCCGCCTGCTGCTGCAAACACCGCAGCTTCTGCTCAGCCCTGAGCTGGGAGCTTGCTCTCTCCTCCGCCTCTCTTCGATCCTCCCATCTCCAATGCCGCACTCATGACCGACTCTAGCTTCATTCAAGCCCAACAGCGAGTCGCGGCGCGACGCCAGGCTCGCGAGGCCGAAGCGGCAGCCAGAGTCGCTGCCCAGCGCGAAGCCTCTCGAGCTAGTGCCCGGCTTGAGAGACTGCCATTCCCCTTCAACAGGCTCTCGCCGGCATGGAATGCCTTGTTGTCACGCGAAGGCACTCGGCCTGCGTTTCGTGTCGCTCAGGTAGATGCCGAGCTGCTCGACGAGGAGCTCGTTGTTCTCCTCAAAGACCAGGTCTCCGATGCGCTCAAATACTTTGGCGGCGGACATTTGCATGACGACTGGTCGGCTGAGATTCTGCTGGCTCTCCGGGCCATCCTCTTCAAGTTGACTGTTTGGGACCACGACGCTACGTATGGCGCAGCGCTGCAAAATCTCAGGTACACAGACGCCAGGAAACATGGCCCCGTTCTTTCGCCCCCTTCCAGGTTACAAAAGTCCCTCTACGGTCTGGTGACTATCTTTGGCAAGTATGCCTGGACGAGGTGGGAGGACTGGCTGCTGGAGCAAGACGACGGCTACAATCAGCCGAGTCCCCGAGTTCGCCGCCTGTCTCGCTTGACATCGCGGCTGACGACGATACATTCCACCGCAGCTTTGGCTTCGTTCTTGGTATTTCTGCTCCACGGCCGCTACAGGACATTGCTGGATCGAATTTTGAGAATGCGTCTGGCGAGTCCGACAAGCCAGGTCAGCCGAGAGGTGTCGTTCGAGTATCTCAACCGACAGCTGGTTTGGCACGCTCTCACCGAATTCCTGCTCTTTGTCCTCCCCCTGATCGGCATCAACAAATGGAGACGGTGGCTAGGCAAGACGTGGAGAAAGACGAGAGAGATGATGAGGACCGGCGCCGAGGGTGACAGTTCGGCCGATGGCGAATACGGCTTCCTGCCGGAGCGGACATGCGGCATTTGCTACCAGGATCAAAACGACTCAGCCACGACGGAAACACAGATTATGGCGGCGGCAGCCTCAAGCGGTGTGGTTGGCTCGGCACAAACCGACATCACGAACCCCTACGAGACGATTCCATGCGGGTGCATTTACTGCTTCGTCTGCCTGGCCACGCGGCTGGAGAGAGAGGAGGGCGAAGGCTGGACGTGCTTGCGCTGCGGCGAGCTTGTCAAGGAGTGCAAGCCGTGGAGCGGAGACGTGCTGGAACCGGCAGTCACGACGTTCAGGTCGACGTCAGCCAAGACGGTTGCATTCACCGACGACGTTGCGGGCGGCGTTTTGGAGGAGGAAGTGCCCCAGCGAGAGCACGTGGCGCAAGAGGAGACGTCTGCGGAGAATTCGGCCGAGGACTTTGACGAAGGGTTCGATGAGGGCTCCGACATGGTGGATGAGGTGTCTGACATGGGGTCTGACATTGGTTCGGATGCCGGCGACTGAGGGGCGTTTGAATGTTGGCTTCCCCAACGGTCATGAGGGCTTGAAGTTGAGCGGTCAAATGCAGTGCAGACGACGGCCAATGCCATGTTCATGTATATTAGAGTATCGCATCTCGAGCGAGTTCGAATCGAAGTAGGAGCAATCTCGATGTATACGTGGCCGGCTCCCAGCCTTGCATCGCCATGTCGCGCCAAGATGACGGCACCGGCGATGGAGGAGGGAGGAGGCAAGGGCACAGACACAGACTACAAGTAAATTGGTACCCAACGTGCGGCTGCTGGCGGGTCCGTCACGGTATTTGCGGCTCCAGCGGCGGCGCCTGGGGGCTGCCTGTCACTGGTCACTGGTCACTGGTCACTGGTCACCCGGCCCGGCCTAGCGGCAGCGGCAGCGGCAGCGGCAGCGGCGGCGGCGGCGCGTCCTGCAGTTGCCTTTTCGGCATGCATGATTGACGCGGTCCTGCCGCGTGATCCCTCCTCTCTCCTCCATCACCCGGCCTGGGCCAGACGTCCGCATCTTGGACCCTTTCGGCCCAACTCGACCACGATCCTCGTCTGTGCCTAATCAGCCCCGGCCTCCGACACAGTCCAGACATACACTGCTACTCTACTTCCCTCGTCACGCACAAGTGCAACAGGCGAGCGGCCGTGGCTTCGGATATCCCGTCGGCCCTCGCTGGGCCCCTTTTCTTCGCCCGGTTCAAGCACAAAAAGCGTTGGCTCTCGCGTCGTCGAACCGTCTGGCGCCAGAGCCGTGTCCGATGTAGCCCGCATGCTACTCCGTGCTCCTGCGTGCCGCTCCATCCGCCCCAATGTCCAGCTTCTTCCACTTCACACAAGGCACTGAGTCTCGCGTCCGACCAAATGACACTTCGCCCCTGCTAGGACGATTTCGAGCCGTACCTCCTCGGCCAGACCTGACACACCGGCGATCTAGCCAGCTTGGGCTGCTATCGAATCGACCCTCTTGGCTTAGCGACGGGAGAGGCAGTGTCCATGTTGGGTACGGAGCCCTGGTGGCTGCACGGCTAGCTGCCGAGGTTGATGACGATGATGCCATAGACGACGACGAACAGGACCGTGACGATCACGACGGCCTTTCCATGTGGCGGAGGGCTTGGCATAGCTGGGTCATGGACTTGTGGGTGAATCCGAAGCAGCTAGCCGTCAAGCGGACCGTGGATAGGTGGTGGAGCAGGTATGGCCTTTTGGTGGTTTTGCCGGCTGCCTTGGTGCGTTTCCATTCTCTTTTGCTGGCCCGGTCCTCGCTGTCGCTGCCGCTGCTCTGCTCGTATCCGCGAAGCCTGACACCGCTTGGGCGCGCGCGCCGAGCGGGCTCATACTAACATCGAGTATAGGCCATCGCGTGGTGTGCCATCCCTTTTCCACAGTACCCTCTACCCGAGGACGACGATAACAAGTCGCCAGGGGATGACGCCCGCAAGCCCCCCAGTTACGGTTCCGCCGAGGTCCAAGTCAACTTTTGGTTCTTCCTTTTCGTCTACTACGGATTCTACAACGTCGTCGCATTGATATGGATCACCAAGGTCTTCAACCTGTACAGTCTCAACTGGTGGCCCGAGTCGCTGGGGTTCCCCCTGACGGTTTCCCTCATTGCCGTGTTGTCCATTGCTGTCCCAATCCCCCTCTACTACATCCCCGAAACGCGCTGGCTCACCGTCCACAATACCTCGTGGATCTCATGGACCTTCATCATCATGGCGACACCTGTGGCTATCGCCTTTTTCATACTCATGACCAATGAGAGACACATTGGTCTGCGACATTCATTGTCTGAAACCCAACGTATTTTTACAACGTCGTGGTGGAATGGTGAACCAGACACTCTGCCTCCTAGGCGAGACGGACGCCGGCGCAACAACACCACCTCCAACGTTTCGGAGCCGGACATGTTGTACGTGGCCCCGCCGCTGCGCTCGCAAGCAGTAGTCATGAGGCGAAGGTGGTTGCCAGCAAGCTTTGTGAGGTTCCTTTGGCTCTGCGTCGCACTGTTTGTCGGCTTCATGGTGTACGTTATCGGAGAGGCATATGCCGAGTTGTATGTGCAGACTTTGCCGCACAACAATCTGGAGACGGTCGTTTACGTCTACGGCTGGGTCGCCACGGTGCACCTCTTGGACGCCTTGACGGGCTGGGTGCTGGGCATCCGCGAGGGCGAGCGAGTCGGAAGCTATCCGCTGAGCTGGGTCTTTAAGCTGTGCGTCATTCTCCTATCTCGTATAATGCGGCCACGGCCATGCTTGGGCAAATTGTTTCCGTCACATACACAACCACAACGAAGGGGGGGAAAATTGGACAGTCAGACTGACACATTGTGCTACAGCTACTTCATGCTGACCTACCAGACCTACGTCCGTGCCCTATACGCGCGGCTTCGCTCTCCGGGGCAGTTCATCAGTCTCCAGATTCTCTCGTCCACGTCCCTCGTTGTCATCACCCCCATCATGATGACTCGCTTCGTCCACCGCATCTTGACCGTCCTCGGTCTCAACGGCCTCAGCTACGGGTCCTACCAGAAACTCCAGACGCGCAACGTCTTTATTCGCTTTCTCGCCGAAAACACATCCATGGCCACCTTCCTGGGCAGCGTCGCCATCCTGCACTACGGCGCCAACAAGGCCGTATATCCGTTTTTTGCCTTTGACAACTTCAACCTCACCTTTTCCGCGTCCTCCATTACCTGGGCGTGCGAGCTGATTGCCAGTCTTGCGGTGCGACTGCTCATCAGGCTCTGCTTCGACGTGGATGTTGGGCTGGAGGGCCAGTGGGATTTCACCTTGTGGCCAGAACTCCTGCCAACTTGTGTGGCCGTGATGCTGCATGTTTTGCAGAACATGCTGTTTTCCATAATACGGCTTCAGTTCCATTGACACCCCGCTAGGATATACCTACCACGTGTTGGCTGCGCAGGGACATGTTGCCGTGCGCCATTTTGGCTTTGCGTGGCGGGCGCCTTCTTTGTCGTGTTACCTGTCACCGCATCTTGGGGGCCGCTTGGGATCGGTTGTTTTGTTGTTCTGTCGATGTGCGAGACGAGTGGCTCCTTTCTGGACTGTGATTTTTGGGTTTTGGCGTCTGTTTCGGGACGAGCATTTTAGAACATTACATTACAGATACCTCACCATAATAGATGTCATTTCCCTTTTCCAGCCCCGTGCACTCGATGTATGTGTTGTTGCGGGGCCACGATTTGTGTCGGTGATTCCGTGTCAAGGATGGGACGAGCGACTCGGTTTGAACCAAATAAAGGACATTTGCACCGCAAGGAAGAAACAGTCAACGGCTCAAGAAATTAACCTGGCACGTGTCGGAGCCCAAGGAGGCAGACAGGCTTTTGGATCTTTGTCGGACCGTGGTCTCCTCGACTGATATTTATGGCCTTGTGGCATTGGTCTTGACCGGGCAGGCATGCATGTCAAAGCAAAGAGTTGTGATGTGCATTTTTCCCATCGAAATTGGACCGGTAAGCGTGCGCGTAATGTAGCAACTCGTGCATGGCTACAGACACCCCGTTGTTCCCGAGTTTGCGGCTAGTAGTAGCTTGAAAGCCTTGCCTCGATACCGACAACGTCTTCAACTACCTGCCGCCAAACCAAGTCAAAACAACAACCTGAATCAAGTTCAAGATTGAATCAATGCCAAGTCGAGACGACCACCCGGCGGTCGGCATGGCCCGGTCGGCCCCTTGGCGGCTGACGCAACCCAGTGTCCTTGGCGTTTGGCTCTTGGTAAAATGCCTCGCTTGTCAAGGGTCATTGAGTGGTCCAAGATCAGCTCCTGGGAGATGCAATGCCTGCATTACTCGCATCCGCATCCGTACAGCGTAATGCGCCACATGGGTATTCCATCCGTCTTGTGTTGAATCTCATACGGAGTAGGGCGTGCTGGGATATCCCAAGATGGCTGGCACCTCGCTAGCTTGGTTATTAGGTGACGAGCTGCCTGCTTGTTAGGCTCGCACGAATGCGCTCCAAGATCTTGTTTGAATTTGAGCGCACTCCATCGTGCGACATGTTTCAAAATTCAGACTAGTCAAGGACAGCTCGATAGCTTAGGGAAGGGGAGGGAGTTATGGTTCCGCAGTCCGCTCCGGACCGACCGGCATCATGAATCCAATTTGCCGGCGCGCCGGGGAGGCAGGCTCGGCCCGCGAGGCCGTCGCGTATTCTTTCTTGTTTGGTTCCTTGTTTGTGGCATCGTGGCTGCGCCGGCAATGGCAGCCCTTTTGTTCGAGACTAACCTGGTCCGGCAGTACTGTTGGATCAGAATGCCTCAAACGTCTCGCGCTGCGCTCTCCCGCTTGACCCTCGCGTCGGGTCGACGTGTGGTAGACGCTGTGGCCCGGTGGTAGAAAGCATGCCATTTGCCCGCAAGACTTGTACCATCCGCGCTGATGGCTCCCTGTCCACCCCACAGCTAGCTATGGGTGCTCGGTACTGAGCGGGGCGTACTCGTAGGTTACCAGCATCACTGGCACTATGAGACGTCACTTCAGGCATGGATCGATCCATTGGTTCTTTGTTTGCGTCGCAGCCACAAGGTTGCAGTTCAGCCACCTGTAGACACGTTGTATGTTTCGGGTAGATGATAGACGGACGCGGTGCGGCGGGGAAGCATGCCGTGTTGAGTCAGGGCTTCCATGTACGAGGCGAGGTATGTTGTGTTGTGTGTGCTCCGTACTTGGGAGGGGAAAAAACTTGGACTTGTCGGCAATGAGAATAACGGGACCCAGGAACCAGTCAGGGATTTTGATCTGACCTTGATTGTTTGCCAAGGAGAGTTTTGACTCGTAAGCTTGCTTACGTCAACAACTTGCGATGCCGCGGGCGAGCCACTGGCCGTGGTAGTCGGTGGTTACTGTATTCAATAACAGTAAAGAGATGGCAGACCGAGCTGATGATGATGGTGATGATGATGATGATGGCGGTTGGCGGTACCGAGTAGTTGGTAGTTGGCTAAGCATCGAGGACGCCGGGACACAATGGTCGAACAACAGTACAGGCCGAGTACAAGTACGGGCCGTATTCACCCGTGGCCGTGGCCGTGGCCGTGGCAGACCGGACCCTACTCGTCGCCGCCTGGTACGTAACTACTCGGGGTAGACACTCCAATACCGCCTCCGACATTGGGCGTATGGTGATGGCTTTTTTTTTTTCAGGTGGCATCGGGCATCGGCATCGTGGCTGGACCGGACACGGTTTGAAATTTGAAATCTGAAATCTGAGATAGAAAATACAAAGGATGAGAAAAAAAAAAAAAAAAAAACCGCACGCACACCGACTTTCACTTCTAACGATGCATTTGGCCTTGCCTGGTGTGGCCTGGTGTGGCCTGGCGTGGCCTGGCGTGGCCCACGTCCCTTCCCTTCCTCTTCCAATGTCCATGTCGTCTCCCCCCGCCACCCACCCCTCCCATCGGGAGTACCCTGGGGCAGCCCGGACAGAGTGCCCAGATGCGCACGTCCTGCAAGTTTGCGTCTCCGTACCAGCTTTGAGCTTTCATTGACACCAGACACCAGACACCATACACCTGCCGGCCTGGCCAGCATCCTCTCGCTCGCTGTGCCGTTTGGCTGGCTCACTGCTCACTGCTCACTGCTCGCTGCTCGCTCCTCTCAAGCTCGAGTCTTTCGCTGCCCGGCCGTTGTTGACCCCTTCACTCCTCCTCCTCCGGTTTTGCTTGATTCCGTCTCCTCTGCCTGCTTCTCCCTCTCTTCCACCTCTTTCTCTTCTCTCTCCCCTTCTTTTCCTCTCGCCTCCCGCTCACAATGACCTGCCCCCCTCCCACAGACCACACTGCAGACCTGTCGTCCAATATCCAGACAACCGCTGCCTCAACCGCTCAAGATGCCTCGGGACGACAGCCCGCCGCCGCCGCCTCCGCCGCCGCCCAACTCGCCAGTGCAAAGATGAGCCTACGCAAGACACTTCGCCGGTTCCCCGACTTCCCTATCCCCGGCATCGACTTTGTCGACATCATGCCCTTGTTCGCCGACGTCGACGCCCACGCCACCCTCGTTTCCGCTCTCGAGCTGCACATCACGCAGACCTTCAACGACCTGAAGCCCGATATCATTGTTGGACTCGATGCCCGTGGCTTCCTCTTTGGCCCCGGCCTCGCTTTGCGTCTCGGCGTCGGTTTCGCTGCCGTCCGCAAGAAGGGCAAGCTTCCCGGCCCTTGCGTCACTGCCGAGTACGTCAAGGAGTACGGCAGCGATTTGTTCCAAATGCAGCAGGACGCCATCAAGGAGGGGCAGAAGGTGCTCATTGTCGACGACATTATCGCAACAGGTGTGACTTGCCGACGGCGCCATCAGTTGCCACGTCTGTACCAAGAAAAAAAACTAACCCTGTCCCCGTAGGCGGCTCTGCCAAAGCTGCGGCTGACCTCGTCACACAGCTCAAGGGCCAAGTCATGGGCCATGTGTTCATTCTGGAAATTCCCGGCCTCAACGGCCGTGATAAACTTGGCGCGGCTCCTACGACCGTCCTGCTCGACAACGTTTGATCATCTCTCAATACCCTGATTCGGCACCACGTCACGACGTGAATACTTGAATTGCTCCCGTCCTTGGCGACGGAGCTGGCGAATAACGGCACACAGGCACGAATAATGGCAACAGTCACATTCCTCTCATCGCAATGGTTACAATGAGTCCGGAGTCGCACGCGCACGCGCGGCTGCCACTCCGACACACACCTGAAGCTGAACACTGGGCGTTGGGATTGTGTTTGATATTTTAAAAACAATTTTGTCTTCATTTCATGGTGGACGGTGGCATTTTGTGTTTCCTTTCGCGGATTGGCATAGACAGAACAAGTTCAAGAAAACTCCACAACTGGTTGGCGACCACTAAAGACACTTTTGGTTGGAGCACGAGGATTTGGAAGCTGACGCGCAGCCAGACTAGGCGAGCAGAAAAAAGAGTTTGTCTCTAGTAAAGCAGACGCCGTTGAACATGAAAAGGGGGTTCAACACATGACCCAACGACCTTGTCCGGTCTCCCTTGAATAGGTTTCTTTTGGCGATGGGGAATTTTTGCAACATGAGCGCCCCTGTCTGCCCTTGCTGGAAACAACGTAGTGACACAAGGGCTCGTTGCGTCCGGGTGAGCATGTACAAGACGAGACGTCTCGTCTTGCCTTGGCTGCAGAGTTGCCGCGATGCCCGAGTTCTCTAGGCATGAGGGGCCGAACGTGCCACCGGCGTGATGCATGCGTGGCACATGGACTTGCTTTGACGTGGGCATTCAACGGTTCGAGAACATTTGTCATGTTCCTACTACAACACGGCCGCATTGTCGATGATGAGTCCCTGGCTGACAACGGCGTACTTCCTCCGCATGCCGACCGCGAGCACCCTGTCGAACAGAGCGTACTCCCCTCTTCCGACACGCATCAGCACCAACGGAACCCCGTGTAGTCTCTTGATCCCGTCCGGCGTGAGTTGCTCCGCCACCATCAACGGCCTGGGCAGCTCGTCTCTGTGCTGGCCGTGCTCGTCGGCCTCGTCCACCACGATGACCAGCTGTAGCGAGTCTCGGCTTGGCGCAAACGCAGGAACGTTTGCGACCTTGTCGCTGAAGGAGCACCCGCCTCGCCTGATGACGATGACCTGGTGATCTCTGGGCGCGGATTCCGGAAGTGCGCCCGAGCAGGCCTCGTCGGCAACGTAGATTGCTTTCCAGGGGAAGTTCGCCATGGGGTCGTCAGAGTTGTAGGTCGGACAACCGGGCACCGGGGTGTCGAGGATGGCGGGTACGGGATACGATCCAGCACCGACGGAGGTGAATGCTTGCCAAGTGTACAAGGAAGCGGAGACGGAGCCGCTCGTCTCAGATCCGGAGGCGGCAGTCTCCAAGGGGTCGAAGACAGAAGTTACTGCCTGGAAGAGGTGCTTGAAAAGAGAATGGGATGGCATGACGCCTGACTCGGCGCCGTCTGGCCCAGTATCGACACCGGTATGCGGGATGGCGGAGGAGGAGGAGGGTGATGATGGCGGACTGGTGTTTTCGGGGGCTGCATGTGTTGGGTGACGCGGCGCTTCAACAAGGACCTGTATGTTGACGGAGTCCTTGTGCCGCAAGCATGTAAATGCTTCGTCCTTGAAAAGTCGGACATGCTCCCCGTGGAAGAAGACCGTTTCGTGACGACCGAGCTGTGTGTTGCCCACGTGGGTTATCTTCCAGACGTTTTCACCCCGGACGTCGCTGAATTCTCGTTCCAGTTGTAACCGGAGGCCCTCGAGATTCGTGACCGTGGGGCCGAGGTAGCTGTACCATGCAATGGACACACCAAGCCTCGAAATCAACGAGCTTGCCGCGTCGGTGGTTGGGAATTCAATGGCTGAAACCACTCGTTGGGGGGGAGCGACGCAGGTCCCGTTTGCCGGGAGCAAAGTGGGAGGGAGCGTCCAGGGGAAGATGGTGTGGTTGGACGTGGCGCGATATTTTGTGACCAGACCTCTTTTTGGGTCATTTACGAGGACTTGTTCGACGGGACCTTGGAGGTTTGGTGTGTTGTAGAGGTCCGTGAAGCGGGATACGCTGAACAAGTCGGGCCTGGAGGCAGTGGAGGACCCTGTCAACGGGTTTTGTACGGGCGGAGGGGCTGGACACGTATTGGTAAAGCTCTCGTCGTGGTAGCTGGGCACAAGTGCGTCCTTGAGATTGCTGGCACGACGCTTGTCACGGACGAGCTCGCCATTCTTGCCCCTCGGTATGACGAGAGGATGGCCCTCGGTGGTAAAGACGTAGGCGGCGTCTAGCTTGTTGAGAGGATGATCTGGGTCGAACAGGAGATACATGTATTTGGTTGTCTCGCCGAGGAAGAAGCTCTCCATCCGGTTTTGCTTCTCTCCCGTCCGGACATCTTGCAGCCCTGCCCAGCCGCAGGGTGCGTAACAGCGACGCCGGATATCCTTGAGGACCATTTCGCCAACGTGAAGATACCATGGGTCCTTGGTCGCACGATAGATGTGGTAGGTCGATTCTATGAACTCAGGTCGACCAGGCCACCAGCCAATACCAGGCTCGACATTGTTTTCGCGGATTGACCAACGCTCGGGCAACGCCGAGTATCTCGTCCACAGTGCCGTGTACAGGAGGTTCGCTTCAATAGCCTCATCCACTTCGCCAGCCAGAGCCAAAAGACCGGGGTAGAAGGCGCCCAAGCTATCAATCCACATAGTGTAGGGCTGGCCCGTCACTCGATGAGAGTTGGAATAGTAGGGGAAGTGGTTCCTGTCCGTGTAGATGTGCCGCTTGACAGATGCGTGTGCTTCATGCCAGGCCTGGAGAAAGGCATCAGACGAGTGCATCTCGTACGGCAATGGTTCATGCAAAGCATTCGGATCCAGCCAGGCCGTCGTGCTTTGTCTTTGAGATCTTGTCGCGTTAGGCATCTCTCGCCCTGAAAGAAGAATGTGACTCTTGAAAGCATATTCAAAAAAACTGTCCATGCCCGCACCAATGCCTGAATGAGGACCCGTCCAGAGGCCGCGCTCCGCGTCAATCCCGTTACCAATCAGCCCAATTTCGCTCCGTCGCCGCCACACTTCCCAAAAGGCCCGCTTGGCTGCGTTCTCGAATCTCGGATCGCCCGTCAGCCGACTCAGAACCGTAAACTCCAAGGTCAAACTGCCTGCGCCTGCGCTGCAAGTTTCTGTGACCTCCAACTGCCGCGGCCCTTGCTCGGTCTTGTCCGCCCCCCGGTGCAGAGGAGAATTGGCGTAAAAGGGAATCCCGGTGCGGAGATTCACCCTGGGATACGGGATCCCAGTCTGGGTGTAGAATGCTGGCAACAGTCTCTCGGCAAGATCGAGAGCAAGCCTGAGCAGCTGTCCATCGTATTTCAGTCCGTTTGGCCAGGGAATCGGCCAGAGTTCCAATGGATCCTCGTTCAACGACGTTTCTGCGGGCTTTGGATTGTACCCTGTCATGGGCAACTCTCCAATAGCAAACAAATGAGCGCTCAGAAGACCGCCCAGCCCTCTTATCACCGTTTCAAACACTTGAACTTTACTGTCGAGGTCGAAGCCGCGAGCGCGCGCACCCTCACCCGATGGACCGAGCCGACCATCCCCATAGAGACGGACGAGCTGGGCAACTCCGTCTTGAAAATCGCTCAGGGCTTGAGGCCCTGTGTAGGAGCCGTCTTGCGGGCCGCCTGCTAATATGGCGAGCGTTGACAAGCTGTCGATCAGGGTGAGAGAGTAGTTGCCCAGAGCGTCGTTTAATTCTGTTCGGTTCGGGTCGTCGGGGGCTCGAGTTAACGCACCACAGGTCAGTGGCCGCAGCTGTTGATGAATCAGAGTCAACAATTCATGCCGCATTCAGTTCCCACCCACCAACATACCTCATCTTCTGGGAACGCATGTTTCATGTAGTTGCTAAAGCCGTGATAGAATGTGTCGACCGTGTCCTGGCGCAGCTGGGCCAAGTAGTCCGCCCGCATCGACGTCGTTATCCATGGTAGCAAGGCACATGCGAAGAGAATCGCTGCCACAGACATGGTGTCCTAGAGCTTCATCCGGCCAAACTGTGGTTGTCGTGTGCTCACGGGTGGCGACGACAGCGTCCTCGATGAAAGAGGAGTGTCTCTCGCCAGCAACGGCACTTCCGGCCAGAAGCTACAGAGACCAGTGGTGGTGTAGGTACGTATCCCCCATCTGCACGAAGTCGTACACCGACCGTTGTTGTTGATTACGGTCCGGGTCTCGGACTAGATGATGATGGTAAAGCCAACTTGACGGGTGCCGTCATAAGACGCATAACTAGTACTCAAGTACTTCAGTACCCAGGTACGGAGTACTTGTGCACTCTGGCCTTTGGAGGTGTGGTGTGGCGTCGGCGGTGTGGCTGCTGCGGCTGGTGGCACAGATAAGCCTTGGTTGTGCGGTCAAGTTCTCCGTAAGTGCGTGTTGGTTCTTTCTGAATCATGTAGACAGACGTGTGAAATTATTTGATGATGTCATCTATACTGGGATTCACAGTGAACTGTAGATGTAAAGCACAAGATAACTTGACCGCTGCAGTTGTTGAAGCCTCTCATGTCCAAGAAGCTTGCGGTACCTTGCAGTTCAAACAGATTGCTCTCTTGGAAAAAACATTGCAGGGAGGGGGGGGGGGGGGGGAGCAAACTGTTACCGTGAATAACAACAAAACAAGTCAAGTACGTAGTCATAATTTGTTTGATCCTTTGCCTCGTGGCATTGTGGATTGTGGATTGTGGGTTGGTTACTCGGCAATGACCTCGGTAGATCTTTTTTTCGGAACACGTCGCACCGATGGAAGGCATGATAACCTAATCGACCCTGAGAGACCTGACACTCTGCTGCATGTGCTGAAACTCGGGACGCGAAACCCACACCCCCGTTTGTCTTTGTGAACTATAAGTTGCCTGTCGATCAATTGCCAGAGGGGTGTCGGATCAAAAACAAGACGAGTATAACAAAGGCCCCCAACCCCAAGCGTGACAAACCCACACGATGCGATGGACTCGGCCGGGTGCGAACGCCATGTTGCCGCTACCTTTTCCCCACGCATTGAATGATGCTGTGCCATGCACGAGCAAGGAAAATGAGCGCAATCAGGTGGGAGTAGATTGCCGAATGGTACGCCGTATGCCCTAACGAAGAAAACACCGTGGTCGGCAGTGGACACGCGAATAGGCCGTGGCAGAAAGGGGGGTTGCAGCCTACGCCATGAGCAGACTCGGCGCCAAATCCATTGCCTGCACCAATCGCGGCCCTCCCAACGGCGGAAGGCTTATTTATTGCATCATGGAGCATTCCACAGAGATTCCGTACCATCCTGCCCCGGGAACGTCACCCTCGGGTGCGCACCGACAGGCTGTGCTTCATCAACACCCGTGTGCCCTTCAGATTCAGGTCAGGACTCGGTACATACCTAGGTACGGAGTACTGGTACGGAGTGACGGACTCGTGATCCAGCCTGCTTGTCCGAGCCTTGCTTGGCCCTTGGACAAGGCCTAGTCCAGACCCCGTAGTGTGGTACAGGGCAGGGCAGGGCAGGCAAGACAAATGCAAGCGAAGACGAGCAGAATAATCGCAGAACAAGAAGAGGCAGGAAACATCAGATATGCCGTCAGCCACTTGGTCAGGGGTTGCCGTCATCCGTGCGGGACGGCGGTCGGTCAACAGTCGACGGAAATGTCGTTGGACATCATCACGGTCGGCGTCGGGACTCAGCAGAGGCGGCTGCGCTTATTAGTTACTCAGTACTTACTCCGTAGTGCATCTTCTGTTAGGACGTCTGACTCTCGCCCCGTTTCGCCCCGGCCCCTGGCAAACGCGTCTGGTGGATCTCTTTCCCTGAAGAGGAAGCGACCGGCTGTCGGATCAAACAATTGGTGGGCCTTCTCTCGACGTCGACTTGTTCGTGGCCCTCGAGATGTCACACATGCTGGTCGACTTGGTCGTCTTCTTTCCATCTTGGTCCTGCGTCGTGGGACAACAACCCCTGTCCCGACATTCGGAAGAGCAACCGGGATCAGACATCGTCAACAGCCCTCTCCTCGGCGCAATAGTGACCTACCGTGCGGTCAACAGCCGGCGCGAATTGCGAGAGACCGGTGGAGCGGCAGTCTTTTGAGATCCTCGACTTTTCCGCGTCGTATGCCTCGTCTCCCTAACCCGCACTGAGCCTGCCTACCCGTCGTAAGGACCAGCTCCATGGACCGTGACCGTCCACAGTATTATTCCACATCCCAAAGTCGTCATGGACCAAGTCATATTCTTGACCGATCCACACTCTCCTCTGATATCAGTCATGTGCGCCAAGTCCAACTCGCAGTGTTGCTCCAGGTCAGTGCCAGAGGGCACATCATCGTCCGGGGCCCCAGGTCGTGGGTCGTGAGTCGTGACAACCGCAAGCAAGCAGTAATCGACCAGTATCAAGCCCGTCGGCGCCAAATCGAAGCACCCCCATGGCGGTGGCGCAGCAAGTGACGTGCTTCACGCACCGCCGTTCGGCACGTTTCCCTATTTCGCCATCATCAGCGATTGGTCGGGACATTTAATGCTGACGATTTGCTCGTCGGCCATGCCTACCAGGGTGCTCGCAGGGAGTCGGGGAGTCAGGGACAGCTACGTCACCGATCCGCCCGAGCACAAGCACATCAAAAGTGTGTAGTGTGGTCCCAGCACTGAAGTCATTTGAGTTTGTGAGGGCGGACTCGAGGCTTGGACGCTCCCTTGATGCCTGTCCCTGTTCCTCTAGTCCAGGCATTCTGACTGCCAGCAAGGCGAACAAACCATCGAGGTGGTCCCGCTGCACCACGTCTATGTCGCCTCGCCAAGGATATGTCGTAATCGAGGACGATTTTGTAGTGGATCCTGAGCTAGAATCTTCTGTTTCTATGTGAATTTTACTTTTGGCTTTCGGGGGGGTTTTTTTTCTTTGCGAGGGAATGACGGCTACTTACAGTTTTATGCTGGGTGAGTTTGCAGGCAACCTCGGACCGTCGATAATAACCCCATATTCGATGTGCACTCCTTCTTGCGGAGTATACTGCTTGCCTTTTGTGCTGCCCAGGTCTGCCAGATATCTTTAAGCAGCATAATACTGCCTGGATGGTCGTTCGTGGTGTTGGAGCAAAGAGCAAAGACCAGTTCACAGTGAAGTCACATCAAAAATACTAGGCCACTGCATGGAATGTAGACAGGTTTAGCGGAACTCGTATGTTTCTAACGTCGACGAAAAGATACCTCGGTACGTCGTAGCTCGGCATGAAAATGTCGTCTTGTGACACCCCTGGCCACTCATAGGGCTGCAGAGCCCATGCCGTTTTGTCCACCCGTTGTAGAATATGGGACAAGACATCCGAGAAAGCAACGCTGCAATCCTCGCGCAGCGCCCCAGTGATATCCTGGCATGCGTTGTGCACACTGCACACTACACATGGCCGCGTCAACTTGATGCAGGTACCTGACAGTGGAACGGCTTCTGCTGTTAAAAGACAGATTAAGCTGCTTGTCACTCTGTCATATCTTAGCCTGTCTGTCCCAGATGTGCCTGATAATCCTTGCCTCAAACCCAGAAGGGTGTTGGCTCCGAGACAAGTCACAGCTTACTGCCTGCAGTGCCTCGCTGTGTTCTGAGCTGGCAACGCCATTTCACGAGTCTGAACCTATAAGCGTAGTGTTTAATTTGCTTCATTTATCTGGATGCTTTATCTTTACCACGATATATGCGATGCACTTTACCTACAAGGGATGCTGCAACTCGAAACTCGCGAGTCCCACCATTTGAAAGTTGTTCCACAAAATGTCATCTCTTGTCGCGGTTTGTAATGCCCAAGTCCTCCCACGAATCTTTTTTCTCAGCCTACTCGTCGTTTAGCATGTCAAATGTGGTCGTGTAGATGGTTCCATAAATTGTTCTCTTGTCATCCCGCGTGCGAAGGGCCGCAATTGGATCTGAATTTGAGGCAAGCCATGAACTGCCTGCCTTCCATCAGCCTGCGTCGATATCAACAGATTTCTATAAACTGTCAAGTCAGGTAGTCAGAGACGTTTGAAAGCAGAAAAGTACTAGTCGTTTTTGTTTTTGTCCTGTCAAGTGACCACACTGCACAGGATCAATGGCGTGGCCTTCTCTGTTTGTGCAGCAAATTTCCAGACTTTGACATGAACCAGGCCCGAGACCTTACGAGAAGCATCAGCTCAGCTTTTGCTCAACTTGCCTGTGAAAGAAGTTTCGGCGCGTGGTTTACTTGGCTATTGTAGGCTGTAGCAACATCAAACCAGGTCGTCGTGGGAGTGGTGTGGATGCATCAAGACCAGCCTCGGCATCCGAGAGATTTCGAGATGGCCCCCAAGTGTACTCCGTAGCGACAGGCCAACCCTTGGTAAGATTCTGCAAGATACGAGGCGGTCACGGATCCTATCTCGTGCGGAGTACTTGGACGGGCGATCACTCACCTGAACAAGCAGCCTCACTGTTTCTCTGTCGTTGCAATAGCCCTTGTCACGAAGCGGAGCGGGCTGAAAAGCCCTGAGACGCCAAGTCTGTGGCATTTTACGAAATGAGGGAAATCAGCCACACCGGTTGAAACTGGAGAGGTGGTAGCGTTACATCCCGCTGCAAGACGTGTCTGCATGTGGTCATCTTGAGACAATGCCCACGTTGTCTGCATTTCCCCCCAGTGGTCGTAGCGGTCGTGGGCTGCCGAGTCTTTGCTTCCTTTGTCGGAATGTCTTGCCCTTTTGCAGGGCGGAATTGAGACTCAAGAGCGAGCACTCAGCCTCAGGCGAGTAGCTGGAGCGCCATAGCATCACATCCGCACAATGTGCGCGCTATTTTCCACTCCGTCGGGACCTAGGATGCAACCATGTGAGCCCATGTACTTGCCCGCATTTGCTGAAGGGCATTTGGCTTGACACCAAGACGGCACGGCACTGCTATTGCAGGGAGTTGCAGCCCGAGTCACCGTAGGCCATGCAATGATACTGTGATTCGCAGGCATCAAGGCGACAAGAGTCGGGTTCACTTTCTTTTCGATGAAATCCTGCCTCCAAGTCCATGTGCAACCCCCTGCGGCGAGTTTCTCCACGTCGAGACGATGCAGGCTGACGCACACACTTTCGGCGATAATGATGATTGCGTCTATTGAAGTCGGCCTGGTAATGGTTGAGAGGAAGTGTGCCGCGGATCGGCGTCGACGTGAGCGTCACTTTGGGGGTCATATCCATCAGTTAACTAGTGGCTGATGAACCCGGGCAGCAAAAAGACCCAAGTTCGCCCCCGACAAGAGTAAGACCGGATATCGCCAACCTCGAAGGATCTTCACATCCCCTCCCGTTCGTGCCAACGCTCGGTAATCGTAGCGAGTCCCTCACAAGGATGGTTTCGTGGCAAGCGTCGTGGAAATTCACGCATGGCCCCCTTTGCAAAATGAGAAAGAAAAGAAAAAGGCCAAGAAAAGACAAACGGTCAGATGACAGCCAAAATAACCCTTGCACCGGACAAGGTACGCAAAGACGTCGACATGGCCAGCGACTTGCAAAGCTGCCAAGTCGGACGGACAATCGGTCGGGAGGGCGAGTGCCTTCCACATGTTCATGCAAGATGTAACAATAACAATGTACGTGTCACTACGCGCCGACCCGAGTGGGCTTACCTACTTAAAGAAATGCAGGTACTAGGAGCCGGCCGGCAGTAGGGGCTTGCACCTGTAGTACCTACTTAAGCACCCAAGCAAGTATAATGGCATTGCTGTCCGTTTGAAGCCATTGGCGTCATCCGGCTTTTCCTCCATCAAGGCTGGTATGGGTTCTTTCCGTCTCGTTCTCGGTGTACAGCCATGTTCGATTTAGCCAACAAGATATCCACAAAGGGCGAGACGGATGTACCTAGGCTTCGTTCATGCTGACACTGCATCAGCGTAGTATTTAAAAACGGCCGAGTGGCGTGCCGTGATTTCGCTTCCAAGACGGAGTAGAAGCATGGCGAAAAGCGTGCCGTCGTTGCAGCAAAAGCCAAACCGTGGTATTCAGAGTTCAGAGCTCTACAGAGCAGTCCGCGTGTGAATCAAACTCAAGGACTTGTTGGCCCAGATCAGCGGTGCCATTGGCACGGGCGCCTTCATAGGTTCATCGAGCCTGAGTGCCTTGACCGGCTCTCGCCTTATTGGGGATATTTCGCAACGTTGCTCTTCGCCTAAGACATGGGGTTAGCTGTGGCCACTGGAAACATCTGCGCGCCCATTACTGCACGATATATGCATCACATGCTACCATTTGGTTCGGCTGATTTGCTAGCATTTGTGAAGTACAATGCTTCAAGACTTGTTGGCGCAAATGTGAATAGTGTCCCTGGGCAAAAAAAAAAAAAAAATAAAAAAAAAATCAGGGCGGCACAAGGTGTGCTAACATGGCAGGCCAGTCTCAAAATGCAAAGGGTCGCACGGAGTGCTCAGAAGCTGTTTTCTGGAAAGCAACAGGTCCCAGTGGTTTTTCCCCGAATACCGACCGCCCCCGAAGGAGCGTTGGAGCAGTACCTCCGGGGCCAACCCGGCTCCGGCTGCTGCAAGTCTTGAGTCTGACAAAGTACTTAGTAATGCTAGCATTGTGTAATGGCGGAAAGCATAAGTCATAGGGCGTATATACATACCAAGTACGGAGTACGTAGTATGGAGTATGGCGTTCCCGGGCCGTCGTTGAAGCTGCAAGAGATTCGAAAGCGCAGGATCGAGACATCAGGGAAAGATGCAACATGCAGGCCCCGGGCCCCACAATCCCTTCCAATCCCATCCACGGAATAAGTTAATAAATCTCACAGAGTCGGCAAATACGTACAAAGCATAAGCAGCCCACGCCACGATCTCCTCAAGACTCCTTGCTCCGAGGGCGGAAATTGGGAACCTGCAAAACACAGATGGAGCGCTGCACGCGGATGGAGTACGGAACATTCAAGTCCCATCCACTCCACACCCCGTCAGACGCAACTCGCAGGGCAAAAGGCCAAAGTTTTTTTCCCGGCGCCCTGCCCTGCCCATCAGAGCCGTGATACAACAGGCATTGGGGGCCGAAGCGGGCCGCGTTTCCCAGTAACAGACAGACCAGAACGACGGAGGACACACAGTTTCTTATTACTTGGCTGAGCGGCGAGCATGAGCGGCTGAGAATATTGCTATAGAAACACCTGCGCCCCCATCAGCTTCTGCTTCTCTTTTCATTATTCAAAACTTACAGGGTGCGTGAGAACAAGCCATTACGGAGCACCATGTAGGCTTTTCCACGCCCTTTCCTCCAGATCGCGCTGTCAAACTAGCCCAAGGGTACAACTCAACCGCTGGCGCTTGTTCACCACTCACTGACACAGCACGCTCTGTACCCTTTTTTTTTTAAAAAAAAAAAAAAAAGAAAAGATTAACAATCATCCAAACTAGACCAGTCTTAAAGCTGAATTCGAATCCGCATTCTCAACGAAACACTCGTTTACCCCCATACCACCAAATCACTACCGGCTGGCATTCGGGCAAACCAAATTTTGCAGAACATGGGGTTCATATGAAATCCAAACAAGAGCAGTTTTGCTTGTGATGGGCATCAACATCGAGTCTTTGGCTAGCCAAAAAAGGCACGTTTGTGGTACCGACAAGACACCGCGTGCGAGGCCATCAACAGAGCGAAGTAGAAATTCGAGCTGAACAAACAAGTGGAGATGTGAACGAAAATCCCCCTTGACGCCGTGCACCGCGCGCTCTCCAACAGTCTCAGTAAACACCCGATTTTAATATCCCAAGAAAATTGTGAAACTTCGCTCCCCTGCTGTTGCTGAAAGCAAGTTTACAATTTCATACTGCCCGCCCATATACCACAAGTACCATAACCAGCTCCACACAGAGACGGGAGAAAAAGATTAGCATCAAACCAACAATGGTACGTGATGAATCAAACACATGCACCCGGAGTAACGTTTCCCTGGTAGCAGCCACGTGGAACGCCGGTCAGCATTCTGTGTGACGGCGCTGGAGGCTCCAGCTTCATGGGAGGTCTGCTGTCCCACATCTGCATGTCCATCATTTCCCCCGAGCTTGCAGACAATCCCTCCCAGCGAGATCTGGGGTTGTGAACTTGGTTGATCACATCGTCTTCGTCGTGGGTATGCTGGTGGTGCGCGTCGACGCCCACCATGTTGTCGCCCCCCATGGGCACTCCGTCTTCATCTCTGCGGCCGCCGCTGCCGGTACGCTTCTTGGTAGATAGCTTCCTACGGCGTCTCACATCAATCTCGCGAAAACAGTCCATGTACAGGTGCTCTTCGAGCTTCAGGTCATTAACAAGCTTGACTTCAATGTCGCTAGGATTCAGGCGCATGTTGCGGGAGCCGCCTTTTTCGAGAAAAACATCGAGAATCATCTTGTAACGTTCCTGCTCGATTTTTCTCCAAGCTTCACGAAGAATTTCTTCCTACAAAGTGGCACATTAGTCAGCGCTTCGTTTTCTTCGTCAACGTGGAACAGGCTGGCTTACGTCCCGAGGTAGCCACTGGATGTACTTCGAGCGAGCACGTTTAAACTTCATCTGGAGCATTTCCTTGCCGTGGCTCTTGTTAAACTCTTTGAAAAAGTCATTTTGAATACTGTCCCACATATCCTGACCTCTCTTGTTGCGGTGACGCCAGCGAGATTCAAAGATGCAGCGCTCTTCAACAGGGCAAGTGTCTTTGAGAGTAGGTGGTACTTCCTCACCATGGCAATTTTGGTGTTCCTCGGCCGGATCTGGCTGTGAGTTTACAGTCGACTTTCTACGGCCAGTCTTTTTCACACGGTTGCTGGCACCAATGATTCCTGGGCGCCTGCGAGGCGAGTCACTTGGGGAGCGCAGTGCGTCGGTGGTCGGGTGCTCTGCCTTGAGTCCCACATTGTTGGAGCTTGGGCGGCGAGCGCGGCGGATTTGTGGATTTCTTGGGAGCTCGTGTAGAAGCGGCGCGGTGAGCGAGATATTGCGGTCCAGTTCTCGCGCATGCGGCTCCATGGGAATGGGCGGATTGCCTCGGAGAAGCATGGTACTCTGGCTCGGAATATGAGGCATGTCCAGATAGTAGGGAGAGCCGGATTGCGACAAAGATTGTGGATGTGTGGCATCGGAAACGCCAAAGCTCCCCATATAAGGCTCTGGAGGCCCAGGAGTCCGTCTGTCCGCCATGTAGAAGTCCTGCGCCACGTGGGCTGGCGTGTGCATTGGAGAGCTGGTCTCACTGGGGTGGCTATTCATCTCGAACTGGTGATGGTTCCACTGGTGGTACATCTTGGAGCTGCCCGGAGGGTTTGGTTCCTGACCGTGAGGGCTTCCGGGAGGGGGAGGATATTGGCCCATTAATTTGGGCATTTGATGCAGAGGCGGTGAGTCTGCGACGGAAATAGGCGTCAAGAGGTCAGGTTCGCACTGAGTAGGGAGTGTAAAAGTTGAAACCTGAGAGTAAATCCTGAAGTCAGCGTAAAGAGGTCATTGCCAAGTTGGATCACTCCCCGGGTCCAAACTTACCGCAGAGTAGGGGCCCAGGTCTGGATAGCTCGATGTGGAAGACCTGTTGTCTGACAGGCTGGATGTATCTTCGGAATGAGGGTCTGCTGGAGAAAGTACAGACACCAGGTATTGCTGCTGCTCGACCATGATTAGGTGAACCCCGCAAAGGTTATTGCCAAGCAGTCAGGATGTTGTATCAAGGTCTCTGCGGCCAAGATAGCAGGCGCTTCCTGAGCTGAGCGGTTGGCCTAGTTGCGACGGTGAAGGATCTATTGCCGATAAGTAGGAGCGGCTGCAACGTAAAATCTTCTAGAAGCCGACCGACCAGAATGGCATATCTCACCGCCACCAGTCGACACTCATGTACTTGCGAAACAAGACTTTAGCCGAGCAGAGGGAACGGCGGGATAAGGCAACACAAGAATTGGGTGCGGCTCAAAAGGAGGACAAAGTGCCAGTGGGAAGAGTCAGCATTCAAAGGTTGCGTCGCTGTTTAAACCAACAGCAACAGGTCTTGCAGTCTTGGGCGATGAAGAAGCGAGGAATCAGAAAAAATGAAGAGATGAAGAGCTGAGTACGAGTAGGCAGAAGGCCCGGCCTCTTTGTTATAAGTGGCTCGAGATTGAGGATGCGGTGCAGATCTTTTGAACAGAGAGAAAGAGCCCTGAGTCGAGCCTGGGCATGAATGTACCTCGACTTTGCATGGTACGGACTCCCGAGTACACAATGAGGAGAGACAGGGGGTGCGGGTGTGAGTGGAACAAGCCCGGCCAGGGTGAGGGTGCAGGGGAGCATAATGGAGTTCTGAAGTACCTACTCCGTAATGTACTCCGTACTCCGTACTTACGTACATTGCATCGGGGGAGGAGGAGTCAAAGGGGGGTGTGCAAACCGTGCAAACCGGAGGGCGTGGAGAGCTGCCGTTTTGGCTCATCATGCTCGTCCGCCGCTTCTACGGAGTGGAACTACTGGTGTACCCCAGTCTGACCACGGGTGTCTGTTGCTCTGATGGGGGCACACAGGGCAGGCTCATGACGGCCGAGCTGGCCGATGAGACGTCGTTGACTGTCGTCCGACCACGATGAACCTCTGACTTTCGAGCTCGGCCTTGTATATTCTCGTCCTGACGTGCATGTGGATAGCCGCCGGCGTTCTGCTGCAGCTGGGGACTATCCCAAGGCAACGTAGGGTCCAATGGGGGTCCAACGGGGTGTGGGTTCGGGGGCGAGGATGGGCTCTCCAAATTAGTACGGCATGGTGGGTGACGCCCGGATTCCCTTTGGAGATCCAGCTGCGTCCTTCTGGGCTGCAATGCTTTTCCGTCTTGAGGCTCTTGAGGCTCTTCTTGCAGGGCCGGGTTGTCAAGTTGTTTCAAGAAGAAATTATGTACGGTGCGGCACTGTCCTTTGCTGTACCAGTGTTGTTGAACATATTACAGTCATGACTTTCCTTTGGCACGCTCCAACAACACATGTTATGGCTCGTCGTTGGTTTCTGAGCCTAATTTGGGATGACCTTTGACGCCTCACGGCAGAAAAGGGTGAGCCAAAGAGTAAACGGCCAGATCCGGAGGGGGCCTCTTCCGATGCTGCCACCAAAAAGGGGCCTGGAAGTCATAGCATCCTGGGGTCGTGACCGATCACGGCTCCATACAGATCTCATGACAACGGCCAAGACTGCTTCGTGTCCCGTCCATTTGAGTGTGGCGGGGCCACTCGGCAGTATTCACGAGCTTCCGAACTACACGAGCAAAAATACACGCCGTAATAGGAACGAATGCGGCACTGACCGACAGACGTTGGTTGGCCATCTGAAGCGCTCCGCACGAGTCCACGTACAGTCTGTTGAGTTTGGGGGCAGCCGGTACTCCGTCCCAGTGGACCAAACACCCGCGGCTGGAAAATGCGAGCGTGCCCACAGAGTTGCTTGTTTGGGAGGTTAGGAATAAAGAAATGTGAAAGGCTGGCCTGACGACGGACACCTTGGTTTTCTGCAGGGACAATCTGATACTTGTATCTGGGCTGTGGTGTGTAGTGACGAGTGCATGGCAGCTAGACCCAGAGACCGTGTTGATATGAGGAAGCAGTGACAGATGAGCCGAAGGCTTTGGACTTTGACGCCCGGCCAGAAAAGATTTGGGCATATCATGACCATGTCCAGATCTAGATCTGGACAGCCAGACAAATACGATGCAAAGTAGCCAGGCTTCGGGCAAGGAACAGAAACTCTGACAGGGACACATGTTACGGCGATGGCGAGCACGGCGCTCTGAAGAACGTACGCACCTTCATAATCGGCGACAGCAGACAGAAATGTGTGGAAGCAGACCGAGAGCAACTGGTTGGAAATCACCCGCAGGGTAGTCGAGACTGGTGGCCAATTACCCAGCTTCGGCAGCCACGAGGATGGACGTCATAGACGATAAACCGGGGAAGCGACAGGTTGATGCCTCGACATGACGGGATGTACGGCCGGATGTCGCCCGCTCGAGCAGACGAGAGTCGATTGAGGGGACAAGCGGCTGGTAGGCATAGGCACACGGACCAGCCGGCGGGGGGCGAAGTGGGATGAGAATGAGAGGTGGAGAGAGAGAAAGGATGAAAGAGAGAGGGACAGAGAGAGAGGGGAGAGGGAGTCGTGTGCTGGCGTCACAAACTCCAGCACTCCTGCGCACCTCCCATTGGGAGTCGAGCCCGCCCTGGAGTCGTCGAGCCGACGATGGAACGGCCTCTAGGAAATAACCATTAGTCATGGGACCTGAGCAGACCAAGAGGACTAGGAAGTGAGAGGACGATGAAGTTGAACAGACCAGGCAGCAAGCGGCGGCAATGAAACGTCCACCTTTTGCCTGCCGACCTTGGCCGGAGATCTAGGCGAAGATTGATGGCCGAAGCATGGCATGGTGCACGTATTGAAATGACAATGTTGAGTCGTTGATGTGGGTGGGGAACCGGGCAACGACTCAACGAGCCGGGTTGCGAGCCCGCCTGGGGACCCACTCAGCCACTCGACGTCAACTTCCAATGTCCATGCTCGGAGTGGCAGCGTGGCAGCGTGGCAGCGGGGCAGCAGCCAGGCAGGCTAGCCGGATCCATCGTGGACCAAGGTCCTGTCAATGTCAGTGTCATTTGATGCTGCGGATGGCTCGTCTCCACAGTGCGCCACGCTCGGTGCTCGGTGTCCCTTTCAACGACGTTCTCGATGGCCGATGTCGTGCTTGCCAGGTGCCGGAGATGCTGACTTTTGGACTCCGGACTGCCAGCGACTAGCGTCTTGATGGATGGTCAAGCGGAAGCAGGCCATGGATGCCTCACGGCTGTCGGCGACTCTGTGGCCTTTCATCCTCGTCAGAGTGCCACACGAGATGCGCCGTGTTCAGGCACCAGCCAGCATATCGCGGATTGACGCGGGAAACGCCATGTTCGAGCCCGCAATCCGCATCTGATCCATCGTCCGTCAGTCCCATGCGATACTCTGCACGCGCGATACACCACTCGACCTCTCCCGCCCTATCAAGCGGCCGGGTTTGGAGCGGATGTCGCTCGGGCGAGTCTCGAGTGCAGCCAGGCCACGCCGCGCAGGCCAAGCTGGCTGGGCAAGCCTGGTAAGGCGACCAGTCAAGAGATCCTCTCACGGGTGCACCACGACGGCCCGTTCAATGCTCGGTCCCGGTTGTTGACGGGCCGCTGTGGCATCGTCACCCAGGAGTAGTCTGAGCTCGACCCGGCCACCGTTGACTACATGCCTGCCAGCACGCAAACGCGACGATGAAACAAAGGATATATCACTGCCGACAGTCGCTGGCGCCGCTGTCACCTTGCAGCTGACACCAATTACACGCCCTCAACATGGACGACTAACTGGATCGCTAAGAAATGGCGCAGATCTTCCATAAGACGCTGTGGTATGTTGTTGATGGCTGCCAGGATCCGGCTGTTCATCCATACGTGCGTTTGCAGCAGAGCCTCCCGTCCACAGGCTATCATTATCCATCCGCGTCAAAAATCTCTGGGAAGTGATGACCGAGGCCGACGGTCAAAGGCCGACCTCTAAGGCCGGTGGTCCAAACTGCCGGCTTGCTCTGTGCTTATTAAATCGCCGTCCTGGTTGGCAGGAAGCCAGAATATGATGATGCCCGAAGAGGAAAGGTCTCACAGCCACCAATGGCTTTGTCATCCTGAACAGCCTGCTCAAGGATTCATGTGCATCTGATATCGAGTACGGAGGGCATTACCAAGCTACCAAATTCAGGTTTGGTAATTCAGCAACCACGGAGTTACATGGGTGGACAAACTCCATGAAACTCAGCCCCTGTAGTCGACTTCCCCCGCAAAACACCAGCAGCTCCTTCTTGTCACGGGAAGCAAAAGAGGAAATTGAAATCAGAGCGAGCATTATAGGCTCGTCCGTCTCAGGGGGTATCGGGGGAGATGGAAGCACATAGTCAACTCCTCCACAGCAGGAGTTTTCTTCTCTTCTGCCTTTGACCCCTTAATTGCGATGACAACGAGAATGATAGGGTGTCTAACTGAGAGCCCCCCTTTCTTGTAATTTCTAAGCCCTCTGATGTGTTTGATTCCTTTTGCAGCTTGAACCGTCAAATAGTGTCCAGATACTAATTACGCCACTATTAGAGGCCCCGGTCGGCGCTAAGTGGTAAACTCAAGGACTGGGGTGAACAGACACTGCTCATGAGGTGCCTCGACGGCCAAGGCCTTGGCCGTCTCGCGCCCGTTGCGTTAGTACCCGCCAAATACAGGTTCAATTTTGACAGGCACGAGCGGTCCGATAGCCAAATTACGGTTCATGCAATACCTGAGGACTCACAACGGCTATCTAGCGGCATGAAGAGCTTGTCGAATAGCCGTCTTAGCCACGCAGCCTAGTGCTAGACCTAGTGTCTGTTTGTTTGTTTGTAGACGAAAATAGGTCATTGCACACCCAACAGACGTCTGGACCCTGTCGGTCATCACTTCATCACAGGCCTAATTTCCTGTAAGCACTGGCCAGCCAGCTTTCAGTCTTGTTCGGGGCCTGGTTTGTGCCTGTCACCAATGCCGTCTAGGTGGCGATGACTTTGTAGTGGAAGCTGGCAGTGGCAGAGTCTCCGGCCAGGATCAGCCAGCATGACAAGATATCACAGGGAC